GGCGATTCAGAAAACGTTCAAAAATCTTGGACAAGGTAGGCAACACCGAGATTGGACGGTAATTATTAACACTGGCTCTGTCCCCACTCTTATATATGGGGTGGACAACTGCCTTTTTCAAGGCAACTGGAAACCTCCCAGTTTTCACTGCTAGGTTACATAAGTGGGTAATGACGGGTATAAGAACTGGACAGGACTTGAAGATTCTGGCTGACAATCCGTCCCATCCCACTGCACAGTCATTCCTGAGGCTCATAACAATGTCTTGTACCTCCCTTTCATCGATCTCTAGAATAGCCATCGAATGAGGAGGAGAGTACTGATGCTCGGGGGGTAGTTCGTGAGCCTCAGAGTTTAGATTAGGCTTAATTTTGCTTGCCAAGTCTTTCCCTATATGTGCAAAAAATGAGTTTACAATGTTAACACATTCCATCGGATCATTATTTAAATTTAGAAGTTCTGTAGGTGGTTCAGCTACTTTCTTAGTATTTGTGACGTTTTTAATGATCTCCCAAGTTTTCTTAGGGTTATTTCTTGCATTAGCAAATTCAGCTCTTTCATAATCTCTCTTTAGGTGTTTTAAAAGATTATTACAGAAGTTCCTATAACGTTTGTATGTAATTTGAAGTGTCATGTTAAATGGATTTAATTTAGCCTTTTTATTTTTATGCATACGATCTCTATTTCGTATGCATCTCAGCAAGCCCGTGGTAATCCACGGTTTTAGGATTCGCTGCCTGCAAGGAACTGTGTGCGAGATGGTATTGTTTTTTAATGTAGATATTAATATGTCAAGGAACTGATCAGTCGCCTCATCAACATTGTCAAAGCTTAAAATACTAGAGAAGTCTGTTCTTTCTAAATCAAGTGCAATTTGTGTAAAGTTGGTTTTATTGATATGTCGGTTTGCTTGGCTAGAGATAGACTTGGCAAGATTCAGGTTAAGAAGGACTGGAAAGTGATCAGTTAAAGATGTTTCTATAACTAGAGTCCTAGATTGTAGTTTTGTCTTTAAAATAACATGATCCAAGCAGTTACCCAATCTGGTTGGAATTTGGTGTGCTGGTAGCATGCCATGGGACGCTATAAGATTTAAGTAGTCGTGAGAATTTGGATCAGTGCTGTTTGCCTTAATGTCTATGTTGATGTCGCCCATCAACACAATATTGTTAACTGTTGAAAGATCACTTAATGTAGCATTTATGCTATTTAGAAATTTTTCAGAATTCCTATATGAGGGAGATCTATAGAGGCCGACTATCGCAAAGTTATTATTTATAGTACAGATTACGCAATTTGCATCTTCAAAAAATGGCTGATAAACTTTATGTGAGATCGAGTTTTTAATGTAGATGACTACGCCATCATTCTGGTTATGTATGCGTTCAGACATGTATGACGAGTAGCCTTCAAGTTTGGGTAAGCTGGTAACTTTGGATAGCCAACATTCCGAGAGGACCAAGATATCGCAGGTAATGTTAAGTGCTATTAAAAATAGTCGAAGTTCATCAAAGTTTTTATTAATACTACGGATATTAGCATGCAAAATTGACAAGGATTTCAAGTGATATTCTATATAATTTCTACAGTTTTGAGGTTCACATTTAATGGCTTGCGAGATACATAAGTCATCAATTTGGCTTTTTATTTCATTAGCCATTTATGATGATTAATAGATCATTTAGTTTGAGTAACAGATTGTTGATGACTAGGTTTAAATACAATACATAGGCTAATATTAAAGAAAACCTGCAGAGCTTAGATTGTACATGTGAAAATGTTATGAAGTGATTGGTTTTGTATTTTGTGTGAAAGTTTATTGTTAAGTGAGAGTGTAAGTAAGTGTGCGAAGTTTTTTTGTACGTGTGTGAGTGTGATGAGTGTTCTCTGTAAATATTACTAGGGTAAATTACAATGAAGTGTATCAAAAAGATCAACAAGTTAAACAAACAAAAAGAAGCTATGCCTAGTCATGTCTTCTGCAAGTCTGATAAAGTTTGTTCTGATTTAACTATGATTTGTTTCTCGCCCTGCTTCCTTCTCAGATACACTGCTCCGTTCGATGTCCAGCAATAATCATATTTATATGTTTTAGCAAACTCTTGTGCACGGAAAAAGAGTTTTTTTATTTGTAATGACAGGAGTTCCGAAACGTAGATCGGTGTACAGGTACCCGGAATGCCAATGAGTTCTGTATTTAATTTTTGTTGCTTATTTTTAGCGTTTTTATTAAACTTTCTTATGCCAGAGATGAAGTCCCGTTTGGTAGCAACTTTTGTGAATTCAGCGAGGATTGGCCTTGGCATTCCCGGTTTGCTGGGTACGCGCCGAACATCTCTAAGGTCTGATAAGGTGACATGTTGTTCAATCTTCTTTCCGATCTCAGTTACAACAGACACCAGGTCGTCGTATGTTTCATTGTCTTTAGCGGGTAAGTTTCTAATTTCAATAGTCGAGCTTCGGGAGCCGTGCTGCATGTCCCTAATTGTGTTTCCAAGCGACTTGACTTGCTCTGTTAGGTATTTATTTTCTAGTTCCAAGTCGAGGACCTTCTTATTGACATCCTCATATTGGGAACTTACGAATTTAACAGATTTTTCCACTTCGAGGAATGATTTCTTCAGTTCAGAGTTCTGTGTCTTAATTTCATTAACCTCAGACATCAGGTTGCTTAGAATAATAGCGTGTTGTTGCTGTAACATTTTTGACAATTCTTGCGTTTGTAGGCTGCTCCATGAGGCGAACATAGCCTCGATTTCCTGCTTCAGCTCTTGCTTAAACTCATGTAAATCGTTGCTTACAGGTGACTTCTCAGGTTTAGGGCGTCTGCTGCGTAGATTTTTGTTTATTTTTCCCTCATCAGAGGCGCTTAACACCTCAATGTCCGCTTGTGATTGCATCCTAGATGTGGTGGGTGGCGAGCGTGGAATTTTAGACATGTTGATCACCGAAATAAACCGAAAAACGATGCAGATTAAGTTATTTTGAAATATTTTAAGAGGTGGCGGTCACTTTGACACAGATTAACAACAGTACACTTTGTTTACCCGGCACACCAGTTTAGTTCGTCAACTGCAACTGTCTCACAAAAGTTCTAATCGATACCACAGGTGTAACAAGGACGCACCGATTTCACGCAACAAGTCGATACTATAGTCAAACACAATACACGCACCAGAACCAGTCGTGCGAGATACCGAGCGGCCGGGTTAACGTCCATAAGCGTGGTGTCTGAGTCACTGGTCACTTGATGCGGCGCTCGTCCAGCGACCGTAGACACGAGCGGTCCGTATAAATCTCGTAAGGCAGGGGTCTATGTAGCTTGGCTAACCGCGCGTAAGATGCGTGGACGCGGCCAGTCATCACGGCCTCTCGAGCCGTAATCTTTAATTATGTGTAGCCAGAATCTACTGCGAGAACAGTTGCTTCCGTACTGCTGTCCTACCTACCTGGTATTTATCGTATTTCAAATGAAATATTTACCGTGTCTTCAAGCTCCTGCCTCCTTTCAAGTTGGGATACATGCTTGGTCTTCATCCTCTGGATTTTAAGTTCTATTGCCTCCATGTCCTTGTCGTACTTGTTCATCCAAGATTCCACCTTTTGTAATGTTTCCTGTGAAACAGTTTAAATTAATAACAGTCTAAATGATTAGACCACCTATTCGGCTACTCATTATTATTGAATCGAATCATTTATTTATTTATTCATGAATAGAACCGTAAAGTCTGGTCGCCGAGCACGTAGAATTTCGTCTGATGATCCCAAGCTACCTATCCTTATCGCTCGCGCGTAACTTGTCTTGCCTCCCACTGGCGAAAACGTCAACGTCAACAGCCTCCTTAATCCATCTGGCCAATGTGACTAGTGGGGAGTGTAGGCATATCCTCCATTTGCCGCTGGCACTTCAAATAGGACGTGCTACTGCAGTTAAAACTAAATGATGAGAACTCGTCGCTCACATTGATAACGATGGTCGTCAGAAGCTCCACCTCAGTGTGCACTCTCTGCTCGTGGTCCGATCTCTGCTTGTAGTATTCAATGACGTTGCAGGGGCGAGACTCTTTAGTGTTGATGAGCTGGGTGTTCTGTTCGGTGCGCGCGCGCTGCCAATTCTCGACGTAGCGGCTTCGGATCTCCGAGTTTAGTGCTGCATCCTAAATGTAAATCATAATCGAGAAATCCAATTCGTATTTAGGATTTTATCAGCCTCTTTCATTAGCGTTTTTTTTTTTGTAGAAAAAGTGCAATTAAAATTTAAAAATCTACATTTTAAGATAAAAACCTACTTCAACTTGTGTTTTAAGATCCTCAATGACGCAGTCTGTGTCGTAGAACACAGACTTGATGTGGTTTCGCTGCTGTCTCAGCTGCCGGGCCAGTTCTCGGCGAGTACTGAAAATTGTAATAAAATGAGATCTAATTATATTACCTGTCTGCATAAATAACTTGTAAATTTTCCGCGGAGATAAGTAGTTGACGCATATTTTACTTTACGGAAGGGGTTCTGATACAAGATTTAAAAAAATCACGAGAAACGACACATTCGAAGGACCAAAAAAATTGCCAGGGAATTCTGTCGGTTCAATAAAGATTACGTTCGTAATTTGAGAGAGACGAGAACTAACACCCGATTCTTTGCCTCGTCCTCCAAAAGAAAGTTGTAGTGGTTAATTTTGTCCACAATGATGTGGACGTGCGAAGCCAGCGCCTGGAATGTTCTGCGCAGGGACAGATCCAAGTACATGTCCAATAACGACTTTTGAAGGCCCTTCCTGCAAGAGAAAAAGCACGTCATTATAATTTACAACTGCCTTTGAATCTCACGGGCAGGATTGTTTTTGATATGGTCTAAGTAAGTATACTTAGTNTGCGCTCTGGTCTTAACCAGAGGTTCTCAAATAGGGGCCTGAAAATGCGGCGAAATGGTTCCAGTAAAGGATGGTACGGCAGTGTTTGCTTCGCGCTCGACTTGGCGGGGGCACTGCCGTGCCCCCAGATTTAATTTCAAATAAAGCTAAGCTACAAATTAATATTAATTTATCAATATCAATCAACATCATTACAAAAATAAATAACAACAAATTAAAATAAGTTAGACAAAATTACAAAATAAACGACATAAACAAATTAAATGATTACAAAGTTAACTAATATCACATAGTACAAAAAACGAGGCATCATTTTTCCATAGACCCTCGTTACTTCTTCTTCTTCCCTGGTTTCTCTGCAGGTGCTGGCTTCCCGCCTTTCTTGGGCATTGGCTTGTAAGGTCCCAGCTGGTTCCTGACCAGCAACCCTCGCCACCAAGCCTGGACTACTGTTGCTGCGTTGTGCATCTTCTCTCTGTATAAGCGAGCTCTCTCCCGTTCGTCTTTGAAATCTACCCACAGTTTTATGAGCGCCGCGTGCTTTTCCAACTGTGGAGAAGAAATGAATGTGAGTCCACAGACTACTGCTACATAATGGCAAACTACTAAGAAAGCATAAAATAAGTTACTCCTAAAACACTGAGGTAAGAGTTCTTGAGTGGAGACTGCGACTCTGCAAGCGTTGTGTTAAGACACCTTTCAGGTAGGCGGAGTGACGATCTGCGAAAGGTCTAGCCGGATACGAAAATCCGAAGACAGGGTAAAGCGGCACGTATTGGGAGGAGACCTATGTCCAGCATTGAATTGCTATAATGATGATGGATGATTCTTAACGGGAATTGCCGCTCGTCTTTCGCATCATTGCAAATTATGTGTAGCCAGAATTTACTGCGCGAACAGTTGCTTCCGTACTGCTGGCCTACCTACCTGGTATTTATCGTATTTCAAATTAAATATTTACCGTGTCTTCAAGCTCCTGCCTCCTTTCAAGTTGGGATACATGCTTGGTCTTCATCCTCTGGATTTTAAGTTCTATTGCCTCCATGTCCTTGTCGTACTTGTTCATCCAAGATTCCACCTTTTGTAATGTTTCCTGTGAAACAGTTTAAAATTCTAAATGATAATACCACCTATTCGGCTACTCATTATTATTGAATCGAATCATTTATTTATTTATTCATGAATAGAACGGTTAGTATCAATTACACTATTCAAACAAGACGTAACAAAGTTCAGAATAATAATCATAGCAAACGGAGGGCAAGATTTCAGTATAATAATCATAAAGCGTTGTCTTGCTTCCCAATGGCGAAAACGTCAACGTCAACAGCCTCCCTAACCCATCTGGCCAATGTGACTAGTGGGGAGTGTAGGCATATATTCCATTTGCCTCTGGCACTTCAAATTAAAACTAAATGATGAGAACTCGTCACTCACATTGATAACGATGGTCGTCAGAAGCTCTACCTCAGTGTGCACCCTTTGCTCGTGATCAGATCTTTGCTTGTAGTACTCAATGACGTTGCAGGGACGAGACTCTTTAGTGTTGATGAGCTGAGTATTCTGTTCGGTGCGCGCGCGCTGCCAATTCTCGACGTAGCGGCTCCGGATCTCCGAGTTTAGTGCTGCATCCTAAATGTAAATCATAATCGAGAAATCCAATTCGTATTTAGAATTTTATAAGCCTCTTTCATTAGGGTTTTTTTTCGTAGAAATAGTGCAATTAGAATTTTAAAAATGTACATTTTAAAATAAAAACCTACTTCAACTTGTGTTTTAAGATCCTCAATGACGCAGTCTGTGTCGTAGAACACAGACTTGATGTGGTTTCGCTGCTGTCTCAGCTGCCGGGCCAGTTCTCGGCGAGTACTGAAAATTGTAATAAAATGAGATCTAATTATCTGTCTGCATAATAACTTGTAAATTTTCCGCGGAGATAAGTAGTTGACGCACATTTTACTTTACGGAAGGGGTTCTTATACAAGATTTAAAAAATCACGAGAAACTAGACATTCGAAGGGCCAAAAAAATTGCGAGGGAATGCTGTCGGTTCAATAAACATTACGTTCGTAATTTGAGAGAGACGAGAACTAACACTCGATTCTTTGCCTCGTCCTCCAAAAGAAAGTTGTAGTGGTTAATTTTGTCCACAATGACGTGGACGTGCGAAGCCAGCGCCTGGAATGTTCTGCGCAGGGACAGATCCAAGTACATGTCCAATAACGACTTTTGAAGGCTCTTCCTGCAAGAGAAAAAGCACGTCATTCTTAGATTAATTAATCTAAGACGTCATACGTCATTATAATTTACAACTGCCTTTGAATCTCACGGGCAGGATTGTTTTTGATATGGTCTAAGTATACTTAGGAATAAAGAAATAAGAAGTCGTTTTGATAATGACCATGACGCTAAGGAAGTCAGTTGAAGATATGTCTTTTCAAGGCTGAATAAAATGGCATAAAGGTTGACTATACGCCTTTCTTCTAAAATTGCCGCTGCAGCTGGCATTTGCCATTTTTCTCTGCATTAGGGCACTGTTTTTCAAACCTTCTTAGTCCACTCATACCTGTCAGCATCAAGCTTGTTGATCTTGTACTCCACGCAGTTCAATCGGCGCACGTCGATGCCGTCCAGTTCGTCCTTGACGAGAGGCTGTGCCACTTTATACTTGAGAGCCCTCAAGAGTTCCAGGTCCACTAGGGCTTTGCTTAGACCCAGTTCGGAGTTGCAGTCCACTGGATTTTGGGAAAATGAGTCTTATAGCTAGAAGTCTTAAGAATGACAAACGACAACTGGGTGAGTAAGCGTAATTATGCTTCGAATACCGTGGGAACATGGTTTATATTTGATTGTTCCACAGTGATATAGTATAATACTTAACCCCAACAATGTATGTAGACTGCTATTGTCTTCCAATCCGATGCTTAAAAGAAAATTAAGGAATATTTAAGTGAAGTTGCGCTTTTCGTTTCTTTTACTACCACGTTGGGCGCCAAATTGTGTGAGAACCTGTATAAACTTAATCTACCTTGATAAGGTCTAAAATCCAAAACATTACTTAAATACAGCTTACCAAGTATCCGCATTTCAGTGATAGTGTCTTCCAAGATGGTGGCAAATAGAGAGGCTTGAAAATAAGGCAAGCTGCAAAACACATTTTTTTACTGAGATTTATGAATAAAGGTTCGAGATAAGCATTTTGTAATACTGACCTGTAAATATCATCATCATCTTCATCGTTTTCAGCGTCCTGAAAATAAAGACAAGATTAGAAATCAATAAACCATAGTTTACCACTTATGACGTATCAAGATGTTATTGGCATAACTGTACTTTTATATCGATTACTGTTAATTTTCAACTAAAACTATTTCTGAACCAACTGGGATTTTACGACAAGTCTCCTCTGGGAATGTGAAGGAATAGATCCTCCTTCTCAATTAAGAGACGTCCACAGCTTGGCAAAGGCCTGCAAGATTTTCACATCGTATCCAGGTGCTTTCCCCAACCGCCAAATTAAAAAAAGAGGAACATTTGGAATTTGTATTGCACAAATTACTAAGTCCCGTTACCCTTATAAAGACGATGCCTTCCTGCTACCTTTTCGATCTCATAAAGATGGGAAGGCGCTGGATGCAGACCGTTACCAACCGGTCATTATGAATGATCAGTAAGGGAGGCCTATGTTCAGCATTGGACGTTCAATGGCTGAAAAGATCATACATTACTTACCTCGTCCATGGCCAGAACCATATCACTAGCGAACACGCTCCGACCAGGGATCAGGGCTCCATCCTCCAAAGCCACTGGAGTGATTTGCCCTCGCTGCAGCTTGTCGATGGGCAGCATCGACAAACGTGTCGCTGACACATTTCCCGACATATTATAAACTCTAAAAGGTATAAAAATCCAAAATAATGTTTTCTACAAATAAGGTGTTGGGTGTTGTCGAATTTTGACTTGTTTGTTGTGTCTTGTGTTAGGTATGTCAAAAAGTCATGAGAGAGGTTTGTTAAAAAAAAGTTAGTATCTTTGTCTATTATAAAAAAAACATACAGGGTGGGTGGGCCAACATTTTTTGAAAATGGCAACGCTCGATTCCTCGAAAACGGTTCAGGGACGCGTAAGTGATGGAAAAATGAGCATACTAACATGAACGTGTTTTTTATAAGTTAATAAGTAGTTAAGTCTACGATTTATATTGTAGGTATTTGTGTATCTCGTTAATTTATCTTTATTTATGACATGGGATGTAGGTAAAAGAGGAAGGAAAATTAAAATGTCTTATTCAGTTTTCAATAAAATATTTAATGCCAATTTCTGTCCACAAAACAATATTGGTAGGAGTTAGGATACAGTACTTGGTCAGACGCAGTACATAAGTATGCTTGACTATCTAATATTTATACATAATTTTAATATTGGGTTAGGTTATTCATCTCAAATAAATAGCAACTCTACTAATAAATAAGTAGAGTCCAAATTTAAATATTTTTGAAAATTAACACATTTAAACCTACACCTTACCCAATATAAAATAAAAATCACACAAAACATATTTAAATAAAAACTCAAGTACTAACTAACTTTACCAACAATAAAGCTATAGGAAATTATAATCTTAATTAATGTATAATCTAGATTTTCTGTATAAAATTCAATACTATATCTTTTTACACATCGTAAACATTAATAATTTGTAATTATTACAACCAGATATAGTTACATTGCAATATTTACACCTTAATGACATTGCGAAAAATAATATGAGGTATTTTAACAAAAATTACATCCTAACTAAATAATTAATTTGAATTAGATTGTATATCAACTTCTGATTATGAATGACCTTGATTTTGTGACAAAAAATCTATTTGTAAGAGGATAGTCCTCTTGGGGACGTATTTAGAAACCACGCGCAAAACTTGACTCTAACGTAAGCTTAGATTCTGTCCTGTGATTGGTCTAAAATATAGTCATATAAAAATTCAACCAATCAAACACTTTGAATCGAGTTTTGAGAGATAATTTCCTAATACGACCTTTATACACCAGATATGCAATGAAAAGGAAAAAATATTGAGTGTTTATTTATTGTTAATAAATAAAATGTATAACACGAATCTCATTTTCATATACTTACGATTGTAGTACTATTCAGTCTTAGGCCATTACACTGATCACTGATGGGTTCTGTATTAAGTAGTAATCGATACTTTATCGATATGAAACATGAATCGATTAAAATCATAGTCGAATAAAATATTAGTTAACATGCATGATAATAGTCAAACGATTTATTAAAATTAATATTCGTCTATAAAAAATATAGACATTAATAATAATGTAGTAGAGGAAAAATGAAATGATCGTACAATGTACATTTAGAAAAACATTTTTTGTATCATTTTGCACGTTGATTAAAATATACACGCGCGTTGTACACTACTTTAAAGTGACGTTATGCATAGAAGTGTAATTTTAAACTGTTTAAAAGCATGCATAACACTAGTGTAATTTTCTGTCAGTAAGTGTTTTGTATATTATGTTAAATATAAATGAGGTGTCACTATAGTTTAGTTTACTAGTCACATCAGTGAGGCAGCTGATACATTTTAGGCCGTTTTCGCACAGATTTTAGAAGTCAAATCAGTATGTTTATACATACAACCTGTAATGAGGGTTTTCGCGTATGAAAAATCCGCCAGATAGGCAATACGTAGACGCGAGGTCCAAATGCGGCATAATTGGTTATTTTTGACATGACATTGACAGATATGTCAAAATCCACCAATCACGCAGCAGTCAGACCCCACATCCACGTCCCGCCATCTAGCGGATCTTTCATACGCGAAACCCCTCATTACAGAGTGATTTGCAATTTTAAATCTCATATTTACTTGCAAGATTTACAAGAACATAATCGTGAGAAAACGGCCACAAAATTATGATGTTCCTAATAGTTAAGCTTCAATCAACAAAATATAATACTTTAGGGCTTGTAAAACAAACTCAAACTTTAACTATGACTTAAATAATAACATATTTTTATGACTCGACTGTCGTTATGACAGAGTAGCGCAATAGATCTGGACTGGTCACTCAAACACTGTGAGGTCATAAAAATTTAAAGTGTGTGTATGAAATATTTCGCACACCCATAAGGATTATTAAGGATGTCTAAAATATAACACTAGGCTGGTTATATCTGTCGGAAAACCGATGAAAGGTGGAAAAGTAAATGAGTTTTCGAATGGAGATTACGTCTCGACAAAACTGTAAGACGCTCTCTTATCCTTAAATCACATCAACGCGTGCAGATCGCCATTGCCGGCGCGGTCAAAGGCCAATGACAATACGCGCGACCCATGACAGTTCACGCGACCTGTCATTTCCCTATGATCGCGCTGGCGATGACGACCTGCCCCCCTAGACAAAACGCACTTTTTGATCGAATCGAAAATCGAATCCGTCAAATTCCATACAAAAAAGGGGCTTTTCGACCACTTTTCGACTGGTTTGCGATTATAATTTACACTTTGTCTAGACCCACTGCACGCGTTGGTGTGTTTGAAGCATTAGAGATCATCCTTGGTGCAGTTGACTGCCATAGATTGGCAGTTATGGTTATCATCATCATCATTGATGACCCTTTAGAAGCTCGGTACTAAGCGACAGATTTTCCTTGATGTTGAACGGACCACGTATTTCGACGATGTTGAAAATTAAACCTGCCATTCTGAATGGTTTCTGTCCACATCTATTGCGTAAAGGATTTGTACAAACTAGTTCAAAATAGGACTATGAAACAGTAATATTGACTTACTAGTAGGAAAATACATTTAAGCCTTTCAAAGGCGATATACGAGTACACAATATGTCAGTGCAGATATAATTAGTTTCTAATTTTGAGTAAGATTTGAATAGAAGAGATTGAAGAATTAGGAAATAGATGAAAAATGGCTTTGGGAATTACTTTTAATACTGTATACAGGGTGAATGTTTTAGTTCACATAAGAAAAAGTAATCACATCTGCACAAACAATATTGTTTTAACAATTTTAAAACAGCACTATCTAAAAGGCTTTCGTTGAGTTGTCAATCATTGAACAATAGACTCACTAGTGAAGTTCACTCATAGTCCGCACATCACAAAGAGGCTGCAGTTACGCGCAGCGAGTTTGTGACACCCTGTATCACTGACTCGAAGATGGCTGACCTTTTTCTGAAAGAAAAATATATTTCTTGTATTATACGATACTTACGAATTTTAGTTTTGTAAGGCGATTTGATTATTCCTAAATATTGAAATGGGGGATCATTCGCATTTGTTTCTTTTTTCATGTGAACTTTTGCTTATGAAGTTGCTTAGAATCAAAATACAGCAATATAAATAAAGTTAAATAAATGATAAACCACTTTTTTACGCGACCGTACTTAAAAGACAAGACAATACATAGTTATAGTTGTACTACTCGTGCAGACGACAGCACATCAGGCTTATACATTTTTGATGCAAAATCACCTGTATTACTTAGCACATAAGATACCACCGTGTTTACCTTGATGTGCTCTGTACAACACACTCGCTGGGGAATTTACCGGACAAATTGAAAGGAGGAAAACCGATGCATTCGCAGTCGATTAGATAACCATTACAACTGCTTTAAAATGCATTAATTGGCAAAAACATACAAAAAGAACTCCATGAATGAAGTTAGAGTATGGTAGGTAAAGGAAAAACAGCAAAGGTTTCAATTAAATAATTTATATAGGTAGCAGCTATAAAAATGCAATGAAAACTTCAATGAGGAAAATTGTGTACTAATGTTTAAGACATGAACAGCTTAAACGTCTTTCGAGTCGTATGAGATTAATTATCCGGCTCGAAGGACCGATAACTAACACGATGAAAAAAAAATGATTTTCGTGATAAAGTGAAAGTCTATTAAAATAATTAAATTGCCAAAAAACTTACTGTATTTTCTTAGAGCTTCTTCTCTTTCCTGGTGGTCGAAGTACCAAAGGGTAATGGCATATCTGTAATAGAATTAAAATAGTACGATTATTAACAATTCAAAGTACTAGATGTTGGTAACCTTGTGCATTATTAATATTGTCCTTCAATTCGATCAGCGATCGACATCTCTTTATTGAAATTTAGTCAGTAACGTGTCAGCCAATACGTCAATTTTACCGATGACACATAGCGTTATAAATGTTACATTTATGTTTACCTCGTCCTGTAGGCCGGCTGAACTTCGTGGGGATTCCGCCTGTCGGACCAGAAGAACAGCATGCGATCGAAGATTGGCGCTATGTCTGCTACCTGGTTAGTGCCTTCGGGGAACACCCTGCAAAAGGTTATACGCCACTATTTATGTATTTGACACTACTATTTTTAAACAATAGATACCTTCTCTATGGTCAATATTATAAAGAAAATTTTTTAGACAAACAGACAACATTACATTAGAATATTTTGTTTCAAATTACTCTTATTACAACTAAATAAGATAATACAGTGCAGTGATTAGATTGATTTTATCATTGCTATTGTACTCATTAGAGAGTACTTTCACGGCAAAGATATTTTTAGTCTAGACTCTAGACTGTAAACATAGATAATGTGTCTAGTGTTAGTAAGCTGTTATCACTTTACATTGTCTGATTCTCTGAAAAGCTCTTAAAACTTTAATCATATTTGTTTTGTAAATGAGTATAGGTTTAATAAGTGCAATGATAATACGCGAGGTAGGTAACGTTGATTACCTATTATGCGCATCAGACATTTACAAACTGCGTATCGAAATATAAAGTGTGAGATTAAATCCAACCTTTTGTTATTAAAATACACATAATCAGTTCATGTATGCTTTTGTATTTTTTTCGGATTAATCCATCATTTCAATTTATAAATTCACAATCAAAACTATGGAAAAGCCTTGCGACACTATGTTTGATGAAATATCGTACCAAAGAAATAAGTAATTACCACAGATTACAGAAACTAAAGGAAGATGTGACAAGGGTGCGGGGCCGGTGTCGCAGCAGTATGCTCAAAAACAGAACACATTGCTCGTGACAGCAATGATGACAGCAGCGACGTCATAATGTACAGTTTACATTGCTTGTGTAGTACTAAAGATTATTCGAACGTTGAGTACTGATACCGCAGTGGATAATGAGCACATATTTTGATTACTTTGTGTGTGTGAATTTCTAATACGACACTGAGTTTCGAACTCAGCGCATTAGTTGGCATCTCTCTTTATTTCTATGGTAATTACCTCAGAAGACCCCCGCAGCTCTTGACGTCCCAGTCGAGATTCAGGTAGTATATGGCTGTGATGCAGCGGCCATCTTTGTTGGGGTTGTCCACGTGCTTCACGTAGTGGCTGCCCGACCCTGGGTAGCATGCCACCATCGCCTGGAGACAACATGAGACATGAGTTAATAATGGCGAATACTTTTTTGGCGTTAAACAAATTTTCATGGTAATACAGCTTGTTTACCCTTCTATTTGGGTAATTTATATCTTATACAATACATTGATAGACTAATTTGGTTACAAAATAATTCTTGTTTTGTTGATGGTGTTTTGTTTTTCCTTCTTCAAACCTCTTGTTTCTGCCTAGAATATAAATAGGACATACAAATGTGGTAGGTATTTTTTTCGCAATGTTTTTGAAAGAACAAGTGACACGTTCTAGCATGATGTATGAACTGTTAATAATTTATTCCTGTATCTATAGCAGAGATCATTTAATGTTATGGTATTTACAAGCGCAGAATACAAAAAGGTTAAAATGGTTCAACTTTCACTTCTGCGTGTGACTGTACAGTTTATGTTCTAGTACAATCAATTTACAATCCTCACACGTGCCTAATTTATAGCCGCGATGCGCTGCGATGTGTCACACGATGTCAATATGCGTTGTGGGTGGTCGAGATGCTACAGCTTGCAAGTAAAAGAAGGAGTGTATGCGGTTTTTAAAAAGGTAAAATTTGCTGGAAGGCCTAGGTCTCCTAATTCCTTCCGAACATGTCAAACCTGCGTGCAGAGTGTTAGAAATCCTCAATTTGCCTCTGGTAAATTGGAAAAGGTCGTGCTACTGAAGTGAAAATTAAAAGATGATGATGACAAGGAGTAATCAAAGGCAGCTATCGTAGCTTCATCGTCCAATACAATGCGTACAGCGATCCTCTATCGTCTCACAAACAGTTATTTGAACATGCAATGGTTTAAGTGGTTATTATTATAGATCGTTTTGTATACCCACCTACATGAATAACTTTGTTTTTTCTAACATATCACTTACTTTCACTGATTAATTTAATCTAAGTGTTTTATAAATAGCATTGTTATAACGCTGCTGAGAAAAAGGAATGTGCAATGCAGGTGTGCGTTTCTTATTGGAAAAATATAGCATGCCGTGATGAGTGGCGCAGTGAAAGATTCATCAAATATAAGTAGTGTTTAATATGACTGGGACACTGTTTAGTTTTTAGTGTATAAACTGACTCTTTTGATTTTTAGGTATCTAATGCTGCATCAAATTCGAGTTATTAATTTAGATAATATTCGGTTCAGTTAGGTTTATTGTCAAATTCGTGACGTCATCATAGATCCTAGCTATCAATTAAACCTAAAACAAACCTCTCGCACACCCCTACAACTAGCATTGTCTGATAACGGCCATCCTTTGGACTCGGTTAATTTATCATGCCAATTTATCAATGCAGGCATTTGAGCGCAATGACTCAAAGGATTCCTGGAATGTGAGTCAGCATCTTTGCATTAACTGAAGTAGTTCCACTTAGTGCAAAGAAACCTTTTCCCTTTTCGGCGGACTAGAGTTATTGATCATTACACATTTTAAAGGTTATCCTTTATTCAGTTACGCTTTTCATGTAATAATGTGTTTTAACAAATTAAATAGCGTAGAAGAGTCATATAAGCCACTATAGTATTGTCGAAGAAGTAAGAGATGACTTCTTTGACACTGCTTTTATGGTGCTTGGCTATGAACCAAAGGATGGATACAGAGCCACCGTGTATATTTCATAAAATTCATTCGATTGATCTTCCCTGTCAGTTTACGATAGAGTTAGACACTGAACATTACTGGCTGAGGATAGATTCTCCGCCAATAATTTAATACGGACCGACGAAATACACAGTTTTTAATCAAATTCCAAAAGCAATAGATGTTTGTTTAGTTACCCTCGAATCAAAAGCGAGTTTTCAAGACAAATCATGTCGATATCCTGTAAGAATGAAACCAGTAAGATTCAAGAGCGAATAGATTTTACAGGCATCTAGCAAAACGGCTTATTTATCGCAGATATGCGATAAAACTGCTGCGCAAGAGTCGCCCGACACTGCACTGGGGTTTTCCCGCAGAACATGCGATTTATTATAGTAAATAATAGTATGGTAACAAAACTCGTTCTGCGAAATGCACCGCGCTTAGTTTGTTTACAAACTGCGCCGGCGCTGGCAAGACGAACTTAAACAGTGGCCAGTGCATCAGTTGTTTTTAGTAACGTCATAAGTAAACGTAACAGACATGAATTTGGTGAGATGAGAACTCACCAATTCGTAACTTCACGAATTCCCAGTTTCATTTCCATTCCATTTATTTTCCTGAAGATGTGGTAGGGTTAATAATACTGGAACGTGTAAAAGTGCTTTTTAAAAGCCTACTTGCAAAAACGAATGAGATTTTTGAGTTTTTTATGAGTTTTTAAACTATTTGGTTCTACTTGTAATATTCTTCTGAAACAATGTAAAAAATATGAACATTGAATTTCATAAACCACAATAAACGCTGACCACAAACCGTAAGTCACTGTTATAAACTTGAGGAAGTTACAGCTGTCAGAGCGGTGCCATAACATATACAAGCTTATGGTGACGAAGATAGAGCACACATTTGTCTGTTGCCATAGGAGCAATGTCGTTTCCGTACTTCGAAGGGCGAGGGCCACGTGCTCACGCGCAGGTATTATGTATTCGAATGTAGGGCAAGTGACTAATGGGGTTCGAGTGCGTGTGCACTCGGAAAGAGTGATAATTATTTTTTCTCTCTTTCTTTTCTTCTTAGAAAATTGTCTTACTCTTTTCATTGACCAATGTCGAGTGTTATTTATGTTCTATTTTTCTAATTATTTTTGTTATTTTGCTTGACCATCACCATCAGTGTTGTGTTGGCACATATTAACCGTTTTATTTCTACAATTTGGAAGAACACCAGGAGTTCTAGGTGATAAAATAAGGTTACAGACAATATTATTTTAGTGTGGTTGTTGTTCTATGCGCTATTGGTAACTAGATTAATATTACCGAAGTGTTTGGCATTATCCTAGTATATACGATGAATTGTTGTGGTTTTTCAAGTACACAATTGAATGCATAATATATCACTACATATATCATCACGTATTTAAGTGATTACACATCAAATAAACGTGCCACTCTGCAAGGAATATTAGTTTTCGACGTGAATCAACATACCTAATTCATAGTTAAATATTGACTAATTATCTCATTATTACGTGGTCTAGTAAAAACTTACTAACTACGACGCATATGAGACATCACAATGAGACATACTTCGTAGCAGATAATGTGGGACAAGCAAATAAAATACTATGTAAAGTAAAAGCATTAANATTTTGACTTTGACTTTGACTTTGACAAATGGAGGATTTGGCCTACACTCCTTAAGTGGCACGGAATGAGGAAGCTCGTATTTACATTATTATAATTTTTTCCTTTACTTTGTCGCCTTTTACATCTACGGGAAGATTAATCATTTACCGGCAATACCGGAATAGTAAAACTCATTAAAAACTCATTAAAACTCATTTATTTCTGTAAATAGGCTTAAAAAAAGCACTTTTACACGTCCCAGTATTAACCCTACCACTGCTATAAATAAAACTATTCCCGGTTTTTAAACTCTACCGGTACATATCTAGCAGTTTCACGGTAGTTTGTCGATATTCATTCAATACTGAATAAAGTACTGAATAGTTTATAGGCATTATCCAACAATAGGTATAGCAAGCTAAAGCGTTGTATTGTCCCCAGGGTACACTAGCTGAAAACATTTAAGAAAAATATCGCATTGGTAGTTAGTATTTCAAGATTTCTAGAGACTGACCTTCTGCAGAGGGTTTGGGCAGCGCAGCCATGATCCTCTCGACCTGGTTGACGGTGGAGGTCCCCGGGAACAACGGCTTGCCCGTCAGCATCTCGCCGAGGATGCATCCCAGCGACCACATGTCTATGCCCTTGGTGTAGCTGGAGATAAAGAAGACACCTGGTGAGTCTTCTGGGATTTCTGTTTTGGTCAACTTCTAGAAGATATTTTACGCAAGAAAGAGGAAAAACACTAGACGACCCGCTAAAGTGAAATACTTTTATTTAGAGGCAGTACCTCCACTAATGGGACTGATATCTTGTGATGTGTATCTCCCTCCAGCCCGCTCGCGTGAAGGGTCTACAGGCATTAGTAGCGCGACAGCAGCGCGTTTTTGTAATGTGAAGGGAGGCATCAGCTGTCACATAGTATGAAATTTTCGGCAGCGCGTCGGTCGCGCGTTTGTCGCGCTGCTAAATCGCCTAAATGTGGTCGCGTCATTATGTTTTGTGAATGGTTATGGGAGACAGTTGTTCGCCTAATGATATCTCACCATCTTTTCCTGGTGGTGCTCAACTCAGTGCACTCATCCAACAGTAGATCTACTACTTTGTTAATATAGACTTACTTCTTGCTAGCGATGTGTATCTCAGGCGCGCGGTACCAGCGAGTTTCCACGTAGTCCGTGAGGCAAGGGTCCGCGCCTTCCTCTCCGCCAGAATACATGCTGGATAGGTACTGACCGGGCGAGACCAAAGCCTTCAGCCTACAACTATAGTCTTCAGTCTACCAGCGTCCGACAGTAGCTCTACTTCCAGACTTACTTCTTGCTAGCGATGAGTCTATGAGGCAAGGATCATGCTAGACACTGGATCATGCTAGAGCTGCTAGACCAGTCTCCAGCCTACCAGCGTCAGACAGTAGCTCTACTTCCAGACTTACTTCTTGCTAGCGATGAGTCTATGAGGCAAGGATCATGCTAGACACTGGATCATGCTAAAGCTGTTAGACCAGTCTCCAACCTACCAGCATCAGGCAGTAGCTCCACTAAAGGACTTAGTTCTTGCTTGCTATGAACCTATGAGGCAAGGATCATGCTAGACACTGGATCATGCTAGAGCTGTTAGACCAGTCTCCAGCCTACCAGCGTCAGGCAGTAGCTCCACTAAAGGACTTACTTCTTGCCAGCGATGAGTCTATGAGGCAAGGATCATGCTAGACACTGGATCATGCTAGAGCTGCTACACCAGTCTCCAGCCTACCAGCGTTAGGCAGTAGCTCCACTAAAGGACTTACTTCTTGCTAGCTATGAACCTATGAAGCAAGGATCATGCTAGACACTGGATCATGCTAGAGCTGTTAGACCAAAGCCTAATTCACCCTACCAGCGTCAGTCAGTAGCTCCACTACCAGACTTACTTCTTTCTAGCGATGAGCATCGCCATAGTCCATGAGGAAAGCATCACTAACAGAGATCAATTCCCTGCTAGCAATAATTAGTATCTTCGTAAACCGTGAGGCTAGGGTCTTCCTTAACTTCAGAGCTGCCTTAGAACTAAAGCCTTCACCTTCAGGCAGTAGCTCCACTACCAGACTTACTTCTTGCTAGCGATGAGTATCTCGGGCGCGCGGTACCAGCGAGTTGCGACGTAGTCCGTTAGGCAAGGATCCGCTCCTTCTTCCCCACCGGAATACATGCTGGATACTGATCGGGCGAGACCAAAGCCTTCAGCCTACAACTAAAGTCTTCAGCCTACCAGCGTCAGACAGTAGCTCTACTTCCAGGCTTACTTCTTGCTAGCGATGAGTCTATGAGGCAAGGATCATGCTAGACACTGGATCATGCTAGAGCTGCTAGACCAGTCTCCAGCTTACCAGCGTCAGGCAGTAGCTCCAGTAAAGGACTTACTTCTTGCTAGCTATGAACCTATGAAGCAAGGATCATGCTAGACACTGAATCATGCTAGAGCTGCTAGACCAAAGCCTAATTCAGCCTACCAGCGTCAGTCAGTAGCTCCACTACCAGACTTACTTCTTGCTAGCGATAAGTATCGCCATAGTCCGTGAGGAAAGCATCACTAACAGAGATCAATTCCCTGCTAGCAATAATTAGTATCTTCGTAAACCGTGAGGCTAGGGTCTTCCTTAACTTCAGAGCTGCCTTAGAGCTCTTACACACGAGCAGCACATTGACGACAGCAAAAGCGACAGCAGTCGTCGTCACTTGTCGGCAGCTAGCCGTCGACGTGCCCGCAGCAAGCTGCCGACACGTCGACGTCTGCCGTCGACAGCTTGCTGCGACGACCGACGACGACGACGTCTTTGTACAGGAGCCAGTTGAAAATGGATTTCATTGAAGAAACACTGTTGTTACTGTCGTCGACGAAAGAGAAGGAACCGGTCATTGTGGTTTTCAGAAATGTTATTGAATAGAGAACGAGACTACACACACCGAAACCAATGCTCTATTTTTTAATGTTTTATTATGGTAGTCTAAATTCGAGTTCCATATTATTTCATTGTTTTTGACAGCACTAATTTTTTAGCAATTCCGATTCAATTTGTTCGAAACTCATTAGGTGTGCGTGTAAGCTCCTGGACTACTGACAGTTGACCTTCAAAATGGCGGAGGCGGCTAGCTGTAGCCACCTGCCGGCGGCAGCCGCGAACGCGTCGACAGCACGGCGGCGGCATGTCGACAGCTAGCCGTCGCCTTCTGACGTCAACTGCAGTTACATGCGTCGACAGCAAATTGTTGTTCGTGTGTAAGAACCCTTAGAACTAAAGCCTTCACCTTCAGGCAGTAGCTCCACTACTAGACTTACTTCTTGCTAGCGATGAGTATCTCGGGCGCGCGGTACCAGCGAGTTTCCACGTAGTCCGTGAGGCAAGGGTCCGCGCCTTCCTCTCCACCGGAATACGTGCTCAACACTGATCGGGCGAGACCAAAGCCTTCAGCCTACAACTAAAGTCTTCAGTCTAACAGCGTCAGGCAGTAGCTCCACTAAAGGATTTACTTCTTGCTAGCTATGAACCTATGAAGCAAGGATCATGCTAGACACTGGATCATGCTAGAGCTGTTAGACCAAAGCCTAATTCAGCCTACCAGCGTCAGTCAGTAGCTCCACTACCAGACTTACTTCTTGCTAGCGATGAGCATCGCCATAGTCCATGAGGAAAGCATCACTAACAGAGATAAATTCCCTGCTAGCAATAATTAGTATCTTCGTAAACCGTGAGGCTAGGGGTCTTCCTTAACTTCAGAGCTGCCTTAGAACTAAAGCCACTACTAGACAGTAGCTCCACTACTAGACTTACTTCTTGCTAGCGATGAGTATCTCGGGCGCGCGGTACCAGCGAGTTTCCACGTAGTCCGTGAGGCAAGGGTCCGCGCCTTCCTCTCCGCCAGAATACATGCTGGATAGGTACTGACCGGGCGAGACCAAAGCCTTCAGCCTACAACTAAAGTCTTCAGTCTACCAGCGTCAGACAGTAGCTCTACTTCCAGACTTACTTCTTGCTAGCGATGAGTCTATGAGGCAAGGATCATGCTAGACACTGGATCATGCTAGAGCTGCTAGACCAGTCTCCAGCCTACCAGCGTCAGGCAGTAGCTCCACTAAAGGACTTACTTCTTGCTAGCTATGAACCTATGAAGCAAGGATCATGCTAGACACTGATTATGCTATTGCTGCTAGACCAAAGCCTTCAGCCTACCAGCGTCAGTCAGTAGCTCCACTACCAGACTTACTTCTTGCTAGCGATGAGCATCGCCATAGTCCGTGAGGAAAGCATCACTAACAGAGATCAATTCCCTGCTAGCAATAATTAGTATCTTCGTAAACCGTGAGGCTAGGGTCTTCTTTAACTTCAGAGCTGCCTTAGAACTAAAGCCTTCACCTTCAGGCAGTAGCTCCACTACTAGACTTACTTCTTGCTAGCGATGAGTATCTCGGGCGCGCGGTACCAGCGAGTTGCCACGTAGTCCGTTAGGCAAGGGTCCGCTCCTTCTTCCCCGCCGGAATACATGCTGGATACTGATCGGGCGAGACCGAAGTCTGCAAGCTTCACTCTGAAGAAAAGATTGAAATAAAACAGATTGAAAGGTGGCCGTGGCTGCGCAGTGAAATAAATGGCCGTTGTATGGCCTGGACAGCCTCGAATCAGCCTTGAGACCGAACAGCTTCTTCTTGAGGCAGTTTGAGGCTGCGTAAGTGCATATGAGGCTTGAGGCAGAGGGTCGAAGCACGTTGCGGATCGAAGTGAGGAGCCAGAAATCGATAAAATCCGGCTTGGACCGCGAAAACAGAATATTTCCGCGGTGAGTCGGCTGCCGAGGCAGAGGAAATGGGGCAGCTGCCTCAATCTGCGGCACGGTGCGTCCTGAGACAATTTCATTGCCGCGAGCCGACAAGCCATATTATTTTGTCAGTCGGAACGAGGCAGTCGCTCGGCCCAAGGCTGCCTCTAGAACAGTTAGCTCTACCCCTTGGAAGTCTAAGTACCTGCATGCGCTGTCGATGAGCACGTTGGAAGGCTTCTGGTCGCGATGGATGACGTTCCCCGAATGGATGTACTTCGTCGCCTTCAGCATTTGGTACATGATGTACCGCTTGTGCACGTCCTTTGGGGCATAGGAATACCTACATTAGTTTGAATATTTCTCCTAACTACCTTAGCGGAATCTATTATATCAACTACCATCTTTAATATAATTTGGCCAGCTGGCTTTCTGTTTTATTAAGTATTACTTATTTGAACTCATAAAGCGACGCAGAATAGCAATGTGAGCTTTAAAAATTACCTTTAGAATATTCCCGCGCTTGATCACGTTGTGTAGATCCGTCTCCATGTATTCGAAGCCGAGGTAGATGTCCCTGTTGTTGACAGCCCTAGAGCAAATAAACCGTTATTAAGAGTAGGCGCACACCGTTGATTTTTCGTCGGCCGATAGTTTAGTCGGGCTGTTGATCAGTATGGGCATGTATGGGAGTGCGCACACTACGACGATTCGATTTGGCCGATTCTTCATACAATTTGAAATCGGGCACAACTATCGGCCAACTAAAAATCAACGGTGTGCACGTACTCTAAGGGTGGATTCGACCAAACAAGAGTAAATATTAATCTCTGAATATAAATCGTCAGTTATTTGCCATTCTGAAACTGTCAACGTGCCAGTTATACAAGGAGTTATTCTTGGATAATAAGTTTGGTCGAACCGGGCCGGTAAAAACTGTTATTTTGCTTGCCCCACTCAGCATAAAATGTTATGTCATGAATGACCTAGTAATGAAGAAGGTCAGGACCATAGCTGGGCACCGTTAATCAAATTGTTAACTTCGTTAATCGTTAATCCGTTACAAAAAAAATTAACTTCGTTAAAAGTTAAAACGTTACATTTCGGAAGATTTAACGCAAGTTAACGTTAATCGTTAATCCGTTAACATGTGATATTAAGACGAATAAAATACCAATAAATTCGAAAGCTTGTATCCTCTGTAGAATTTATTCCTCTTTTATGTTTGCGCTACAAACTTCTTAATTAAGAAAATAAAAATCTAAAAAAAAACATATGATGTACATTACTATAAAAACTACCAACGAAAATTGTTTTGAACGAGATCTAGTAAGTAGTTTTTTTTTATTACCTCGTAAATCGTAAACCGCTTACCTATTACCGCGTAATCTTTCATACAAATAACTTAAATTTAAAAAAATATATATTAATCAATGGTACGGAACCCTTTGTGCGTGAGTCCGACACGTACCTACTTGGCCGGGTTTTTTTTTCGTTTTAGTACAACTGCATTTCAGAATAAAAGCTTGTTTTTAAAAAAGTGTTTTAAATTATAATTTTATTATACAAGACAAATCCAACAAACCCAAACTTGATAAATTTCCTCCGTTTCGTTTAGGAATTCCTATGGCCACCTCCTGACTCCATCATCAGGACCCTGGACATCATCTAGTACTAAAGTGCTCAAAAAGATAAATCCAACGAACCCAAATTCGATGCGATTCCGCCGTTTCATTTAGGAGTTTCTATGGCCGCCTCCTGACTCCATCATCAGACCAGTTCAATGGTACCATAACTGTAGGCGATGTAGGTCGATGGGTGAAAGTAGGTGATAAGATGAAATGAAAAGTCTAGGTAGGAATATTGAAAATGCGGCGCGTCCGGGTGTGCGCACAAGTACGTTCGCAGATCACGAGAGTTCGACGACGAGACGACTGGCGGCTCTCGGCCGCGTGTGCGGCGCGGTGAGCCGCTAGAAGCTTCTGACCATAAAAGGATAGAGGCCTCCGGCCAATCAGCGGGCCGCATTGCTAACGGCTAGCTTGGAATGTTCTAGGCGCGCGATAATAATATTACCTACGCGCGCACCCAAATATTATTTATTTCTTTTGTAATTGATTAATAAAACATTGATACACAATAGTTGAAATTTAATTGTTCAAACAATTGTTCTATGATATTTCCTAATCTCTCAACATCTACATTGTGTTATATAATCTATGTTATACTAATCTCGAGGACGAAGCACGAGTATAATTAATGATTAAACGAACTTACCTGTACGTGAAGTTCAATCATAATTATACGAAGTGCTTCGTCCGAAGAGATTAGTATGTATCACCCTCCCACCCATGATCTATTTCTTTGGTAGAAATAATCCCTAAAGACTACGGAAATATCATACACCTACTCATCTAGCTCTAAACTAAATGACGCCAGTGGAGTGAGCCCGCCATAGGAAATATCGGCGGTAGAGGAGAGAAAAACATTTTCAGGCTTACCCTCAAAATGTTTTATTTTTTATTTTTTTCTTTAAACAACAGTGCAAAAGTGGAGTGACTATGCGAAACTACATTGTGTTATATAATCTATGTTATACTAATCTCTTCGGACGAAGCACTTCGTATAATTATGATTGAACTTCACGTACAGGTAAGTTCGTTTAATCATTAATTATATTGCTGTCGCGACTGTGCGACGGGCGGCCGCAATGAGTGTGCGAGCGCGACAGAAATATAATTAGACTTCGAGGGCGCCCGGAGACTGTTCGTGGAGCCCGAGGTCGCCGACCCCAGCGGGATCGAGGTGAGACACTCGGATAATGTCCGGTCGCCGAGCAGATAGGATTGCGTCCAATGACCCCAAGCTACCTATCCCTATCGCCCGCCCGGGCGGCCACAGTGAGTGTGCGAGCGAGACAGCAATATAATTACGCTATATTGCTGTCTAGCTCGGACACTCACTGCGGCCGCCCGTCGCACAGCCGCGACAGCAATATAATTACACGCGAGCGATAAGGATGGGTAGCTTGGGGTCATTGGACGAAATTCTATGTGCTCGGCGACCGGACTTTAGCAGACGCCAGGAGACTGTTCGTGGAGCCCGAGGTTACTGCCCCAGCGGGATTGAGGTGGAAGACACTTAAATAGCATACTAAAAGTCTAGCGCTTAGCTCAGTCAGTGCCTGGGTTATGGGAGCGGTAGGGGAGGGTGTTTTTGAGATGTCAAACGTTATCAAGACTTCAGATAATATGCTTCTTTTTTGGGATGGACTGTCCCAGATATGCTTCAGATTTGTATGCATTGTCACGTCATAATGTGTCAATATCACCCCTCCCGTGTCGCTTACATACCTCGGGCACTTAGTTAAGCGCTACAATAGTCAATTACTACCATCTTAACTACTGCGGCTCCATCCGGGATCNATGAAATACTCAACACCACAATTTAGATTCGAATCAATTGAAATCGAAAGCAAGCAGATAAAATAATAAATAAATAAGTTTATTTTTTGTCGACTGTACGCCTATGCCAACTTTTCGGCTCTTGCTTTGGCGGCGTCGGCGTCTTTGTGTCAACAAAAGGCGTGCGGCTTGTCGGCATTTGTCGGCGCGTGCGCTTTGATTTAATTCAGTTTTTGACTAGCTTTCTTGTGTGAAGGTGCGTTTTGTAGTGCTCTTGAAGTGAACTATGACGCACAGGTGCACAAATGCAAATAAATTTACTAAGACGCGCCTTAAAAATCATGGCCTTTGCTGGTTGATTTTTCGATGGTATCGTGAATCCATTTTACTGTGATCAACATAAGATAATAAGGATAGACAACGATATGAGAGTAGGCCTGCAACATTGAAGTGATAGCTCGCCCAATCAGTTGATCAGCTAATCGGCTATCAGCTGTGACGACTGCTGTGAGGCCTGTGAGTTGTTATGACGTGAGTGTAAACAACAAAAAAGTGTGCAGTGGTAGTGATCGTTATGTGTGTTGTGTCTCGTGTTCCTGTGCAGAATGAATACACTACAGCTTTGTTGTGTGAGTAAAAAATACAGCATGTTCTATTATGTAAGACGCAATGAATTTTTATTTTTGCCAGAAAATGTAACTTTGTAAAATCATTATAAAACACATACCTACTGAAAATTTGGTGAACTTGTTCAGTGTACCGTATAGATGCCCCCATTAAACGGAATGTAGCTAGTTTAGAAGGATCCTGTATAGCCTACATTCAGGCACCATCAGTTACATATTCATACAAATGAAAGGCAAATCTAATAAGATAGTAAATTAGTTTCATAAGTAGCCATTTTAATTAATAATATAATATTTAAATCTAGCTAAGTTGTACCTACTCTAGGTGGCCATCGTCAACAATAACATTGCATTGTAATCGTACTTACATAAGTATACCTTACAGCTTAATCGGTTGAGAACTGAGGTGGAATTGTGTAAAGCAATCGTAATCATTTGACAGTTCATAACGTACGATAAAGTCAGTTATACAAAGCGTTTGACAGAATAATCGTACGTTATGAACTGTCAAATTATAACGATTGCTTTACACAATTCCACCTCTGGTCTTAAATTCAGTTGTAAATAAATAAAAAAATGCATTTTAATATATCGTTGCGTTAGTGATCTGATTACAAAAACTGTTGCTTTGGGTTCTGGAAGTTCTGGAAGCCCGAACGTACTTGTCAGAACGCGTTTTTCAGCGTGCCTGCTGTATCTTTTTTATAAATAGTAGGTACTGGATTAACGATTAACGGACTTAGGATACTTTAACGGAAGTTAACGAGTCCGTTAACAATTTTTAAAGTTAACTTAAAAGTTAATCCGTTAATAGAAATGTTAACTTCGTTAATTAACGATTAACGGATTAACGAGTTAATGCCCAGCTATGGTCAGGACCTAGTGTTTCAGTGTGCCAAGAAAGCCAAGATTATCAAATTAATCATAATATGAATCAGTTGTTCACGTCATACAAGGGTGGAGTTTTCAACGGAGGGAAGTCGATATTATAACATTTCAAACTCCTTTATTCCGATTGAATTCATTGCAGGTTCCAAGCTGTTACTCCTTCACTGTTTGGGTTTCATTGGAGTCCAAAGAGAGGTGGGAATTAGTCCCGAAAAGGTGGGGTAACAATAAATAAAGACAAGGTTTAGGAAAACTTTGAAAACCATAAAAAAATATACCATTATTTGATAAACTAATCAAAAATCCTATCCTACTAATAATAAAAATGCGAAAGCTTTTATGATGTCTGGATGTTTGTTACTCTTTCACGCAAAAACTACTGAACGGATTTTGATGAAACATTACAAAAAAAAGTACTATTGTTTATAACCCAGATTAACATCTGTGGCAAACTGAATTTCACGCGGGTGAAGCCGCCGGCAACAGCTAGTAAACTAATAACCCAAAATAAATAGCCCTATTAGCTAAAACGATAGAATATTCAATACGCTCGACAAGACTGCTAATGGATCCGACCCTCATCCGGCCCGCACCCTCATACCCGTATTGTACAAACAACGGCACACAAGGTGACACAAGGTAAACCCTGTGGCTTCTTATGTAATCGTAATAGGTGTTATTTTGGAACAAACTATTACTAGACTGATGTGCTATCGACAGTAATGTACCAAGATACGGGTTTGTATAGGGGATCGAAAATTGTATAGGGGAAACAAAATTAGAAATAAGATTTGTAAGGAAAATAGTTTTGATACATCTACTACAGGTATACCTACTTAAGTAGTTCATAACTGAGTAGATGTTCCTGAAGAAAGTAGAGCGACACGAGATGGGTGACATTTGACGTACCAGAGCTGTTGTAGTAAATTACGCGCGAGCGATAAGGATGGGTAGCTTGGGGTCATTGGACGAAATTCTACCTGCTCGGCGACCGGACTTAGGTACACCTAGATCATGGTAGCCAGATCACCTAGTCTGGAGCTCATCTGGAATAACGCAGGAATTTTAATAATCTTACGCATATTTGTACATTTTTCTACTAAACTTCACCAGGGTGAAAATAATGCTCAGGGTAAATCGACTCTTAAAGTCTAAAATCGGATTGTGTATGACCTCAGAATTTGTAACACGATATAAGTTACCCCCACTTCTAACAATATTCAAACATAAAAGCCCATCGAATGCGAAATAAAAAGACAATAAAGATTGTAGGTAATGAAAAAGATAAAGAAAGAAGCTATAAATATTTCCTTAGTGCTTTCGGATAGCGCCGTAAAGTTGTTTTTAAGCCTTCGTAATGAGATGCTTATTTTTTCATTTTTCCCAGAGGTGAACCGACGTGGACCGACGACCTCATAAAGGTAGCACGAAGGCGCTGGATGCAGGCCGCTACCTACCGGTGATTATTATGTAAATCATTGGGGGAGGCCTATGTTCAACAGTAGACGTATGGCTGAAATGTAGGTACATATAAACGATTTGATTCCATTTGCCCTTCTTGTCTTGGTGAGCCCCACTTAAGTAACCTACTCTCCGCTAGGTATGTAATGCAATAATAGATTTCCCCGAAAAAAAAAAGTATGAGGGACTCCATGACGAACAATCAACCCCATGATTTTGATGGCTACAATCGATTCTTTTCCCTTTTGAAGCTACCGATAGCAAAATTATGATTTCGTGAAAATGTTTTATAGCAAGATGGGTAAGTAGGAAAACTTATTTACGAAATAAATAAGACATTGATGTAGAAAAGTAGGTAACCTACTTATTGGAAAATTGCAATACCAACTTTTCACATTACATAATGAAATAAGTCCTTGTGGTTATGGTAATTGGATCAAGGGTACGGGGCGTTCTTGGAAAAGATAATAATATTTAACCTACTTTTGACGAAAAAAAAAACGTTATTTCAGTAGCATAATATACAGCAGTGTTTTTCAACCTGTGCCTAACCGAAGCCTCTATAGGGGGGTCGCGAGAGGTCGTAAAAACTACCTTAGTAAAAAAACAGTAAAGTTTTAAAGCTAGATTTATCCGAAATCTAATTATGCAAATGCATAAATATTGTACCTATAGATTGAAGAATTCGATCCCTACAACATTTTCGTAAGAGGCATGAAAAAAAGCGAACGGTCGGGGGGTCGCAAAAAATGTTTTCATGCTAGGGGGGTCGCGTCATGAAAAAGGTTGAAAAACACTGATATACAGTGTCCCAAAAATAATGGATACTTAACTTTGAAACTATAGATAATATGCCTCATAATTATGGTCTCTTCAATATAAAATTTAAACCATGTAGCCCTGTATATATAGGTATTTATAGAAAAGGGACAAAGTCATGTACTAATTTAGCCAAGTCAAGTTGTGATGCAACTGCGCCCTCTGACCATTCAATTTGACGGGAGTCGTTAAAAGTCTCTCCCAATTTGGAAGTCTTGAGTTCGGTTCTTGGTGAGATTTTGGTGTTTTGTCAAGTTGTTGTTGTTGAGGGAGAAGGTACTTTAAAGAAAATCCTTTTGCTGTTCCAATAAATAGATAAAAATGTTGCTTTGGACTACTCCGCCAACTACGCTACGGCGAAATTGCTTTTTACATAAAAAAAACACTCGCTCATTTTCACAAAGCCTATGACTAGTGAGAATTGCCTCGAGGTACGTTCGCACGGTGGAAAGCTCTTTTTATTGCCACTTTATTGTAAGTTGCGAATCCAATCGAAAATTAAGGGTAGATAGGTAATTTAACCATTCCTCGGCCAGCTTGAGCAGTCTTTTGCATGTGAATACAAAAAATCTGTTCGTATATTTCTGTATCCCAGCCAATACCGAAACAGGTGCGCCGATTTTTGACGGATTTTTATTGATTGAAGTTGAAGGAGCTTATAAACAATCCAATCTACGCGGGCGTGGCAGTGGTATGCTCAATTTTTTACCTCAAGCTGTGACTGTGAGCCGTTTTTCTTTCATTCTTTAGGTATTATGCACTTGCACACGATCGCGAAACTTGCCAAAATGTATTATTAAACGGTGAGTAAGACCTATTACGGGGCGTTACGTTTACGTTACGTGGACTCATCAGAAACCAACCAAAAACATAGAGACAAGTTCCATTTCAGCAGCATTTTCTCAAACTCTACATGGAAAATGTAGGTACCTAATTTATGAATCTGTGAATGAATCCCTATTTTCCTTGATAACGATATCACGCCGGAACGGCTGGACCGATTACTCTTATACTTTTTTGTTGTGTTTATTATTGTCAGGAGAAGTTTCTTACGTAAGAAAAATAGCGCGGAAAATTGAAGAAATTGAGTAAACTTAACGGCCATATTAACTTTTCTTAAGACAGTAGGACAACGTCTGTCGCGACAGCTAGTCTTTTTAATTAAAGTAATTGGTTGTCTTTAAGCCAAAGAACTGCAGTAGTTTACACAAACTATAGAGGAAACCACATGACTCAGTTCAGACGCCAAAACAAGCGCAAAGGGCAACGACTCCCGCCTTCATAGTTGCCAAGTGTTGAACTACCTAACCCCTGATTAACCGAAACTAGGTTAGGCTACGAAGTTTTAACTATACTTACTTAGGTCTAGGGCTTAGTCTGTGCCTGAGGTATGGAAGCGGCACGGGAGGGGTGATATTGACATATTATCGCCGTAAGGTAGCATCCCTATCGGTTTTCTACAGGCTACACTTCGGTGAATGTGCGAAAGAATTACACGAATTAATTCCACCAGCCCCCTTCCATCATCGGGGAAACAGACGCAGGTTAGCGTACCATCCCTATATTGTTGACATTCCACCAGCTCGCACTAAGCGTTTCGATGACTCTTTTATAATGCGAACAGCTAGGGACTGGAATTCGTTGCCTGCTGCTGTCTTTCCCGAAAACTATACCTAATCCGGGCCTCTTCAAGGCGAGAGTGAATAAGCACTTACAGGGCAGATATGTACCATCCTAGACTGCATCCCACTTAACATCAGGTGCGATTGTGGTCAAATACCTGCCTTGTTATGCATAAAAAAAAAAAAGTCTGTGAGGTATGGAAGCGGCACGGGAGGGGTGATATTGACATTATGACGTGATAGAGCAAATCTGAAGCTGACTTTTGACGTCTCAACAACCGTGTCGCTCCCATACTTACCTCAGGCATTGACTGAGTTAAGACCGCTAGACCTGTAGCTCTACTTACCGGTGTATACTATGTAGCTTCACGATATTCGGATGGTTCCGAAAAGATTGAAGAAAGATGATCTCTCTAAAAGTCCTCTGCGCGTCCGTCTGGTTCCTAAACGCGTCGAAAATCTTCTTTATAGCCACCACATCCTTAGTCTTCTTGTCCACAGCCTTCCACACAATACCATAGGCACCTTTGCCCAACCTCTTTTTAATTTCAAACCTCTTTAAAATATGCTCATCTATCTCCGACATATTTTTCTCCGGACTCTTTTTCGGAACCTGCTTGGTTTGCGCGCCTTCTTTTTTCCGCTCATCCTTCTTGAGATTTTGGGACTGATTCATCACTACTTACAAGTATTAGACCACGAGATTCACTAAAACAAAATTCATAAATTGGTTCATACTCAATCCGCGATGTCTGAGCGGAGGTCACACAAAATGGAAATTTTAATCCATATCGCAAGCTAATTTGAATATCAGGCTGCGTGATGCGAGACATTTTAAAATATTGATTAAACAGACTGACAATAGATCGATAACTTTCGATGACTTCCTCAAAATATTGTCACACGAAAACTCTATAAAACATGTTTTTAAACTTATAATTTGAGATACTTACATACAATACAGCAACTATCACTCACATAATCCATCTTTTGGACAATTCAAACGCAAAAAATGGCTGTTGATATAATTAAATTGAAATTAGGAGCACGTTTGATGTCTTCCAGCCGAAATTCATTTGTTTACGGCGCCCAATCAAACGCTGTCAGTTGCCATAGCAACCGCACTGACAACTTTAGTAAAGAGACCCATAAACAATAAATTGTGTAATCGATATGGATGGACTAATTGATATTCAAATCGATTAAATTGCCCTTGAGTTCTTAGGTAGAACATTTTTTCCTCAAATGTTTTGTCAATTTTTAAGATTAACTTATTACTTAAGTATTATAATATGTAATTCAATTAAATCAATTTCTAAATTTTAAGAAATAAAAAGGTATAAAATGAAAAAAATATTTTGATTTAAAACGTTTATTTTAACTTTTATTTATCGAGAAATACATTCATAACAAACAAGTACTTAATTAATTTATTTGTCGTTCAATAATACTTCAAATAAGCTAATTCTAAAAAATAAAACTCTTTTTGACACTTTAAGATCTTATAAAGATTATCCTTTGAGCTGTAAAAATAAATTAGTTAGCCTGTAGATCTAGTTTATTAACCTAAAAAAATATCACCCATATACAACTATAGAACTTACTTATAAATAAAATTCAACAAAATATATATTTTCAAGCAAAAATAAAGTTATTTACCTACTTTATCGTCTTCTAAGTACTTAATCTCAAACAAAATAAATAATAAACAACACCTAAATCACGCAGCATGTATGAGATGACTTAACTAAGTACCTATTATATTTTTTTGTGATTCTTTGTTAACTTTGTGACCAATATCTTTAGTTTGATTGCCGTAAAATCTTACTGTTTAATATGGTATAAGTTATTTTAGCAGCAATTATCTTCAAAATGCATGAAATGAATAACAACTAGGTACATACTACAATTATTTGAAAACACCATTTCAAAATGACGTAATTATTGAGACTTGAGTTAAACATTAATTTTTAGAATTTCAAATAGGTTCTAAAACCATAAGTCGAGGTAAGTACACCTCGACTTACAAATCACATGAACACTTTTAATTTGACGAAATTTAATAAGATTAAGTTGAACTTGAACTGTTCATGTTCTTAATGCAAACTATGGACCATCCTTTTAGTCACATCTTTTCAGTTGTTTTTAAGGATGTCGTTATTTACTTACTAAATATTAAAATAGTATATTGTCGTTATCAAATATCAAAGAGTATTTCTTTAAATGGCAAATTAGTGTGCGTTCTACGTCATGATTCTAGCTTTTCCCGTCGATGTGAACTTTTGAGCTAGTTAAAGGAGTGGATCCAAATTTAATTAAAAGTTACTTAAAAACACCGTTTGGATAATTAGTTACGAGATAAAAACACTTATACCCTAGACACCAAAGCAAAATGGAATGCCGAATTATTTCTTAAGTATCTAATACTACGAATTTGGAAATGCCAGTAAAATGCTTTAACAATCATACTTCTTTTTATCATCCAATCATTAAAAAAACATTAGTATCAGTGATGACAAGAACAATGCAATCCTATTGGTCAAAATCTAATCATTTTTTGATAAAATCGACTTAAACAAAAATGCATTTTCCTGATAACGCGATGAATGACGAATCTTATTGATATTGCCTTTATCAGATACAGATGTCTGCAACCCGTACACACAGTATAACAAATAGTGCAACTATTTTGTACCAAAATAAAGTGTGAATCCACCCCTGCTACACTACAGCATAGTGAAGGCACACTCCTGAGCATTATCTTGTTGCTAATTTAAAGAAGTGGTGGATGGATCTTTTTCTTCTCTTCGTCTTCCAAGCGCCCTAGGTCAATGGAGGAAGGTGACGGTAACCCGCATGGCCATTCAAGCATGTCAGCTTCATGTGTCATGATGTGCTCAGCCTCCACTGGAACATCAAAGTAAGTACTAGAAACCTCATAGTTCAAAATTGTTTGTGTAAATTTGGAAATATTGGAATCCAACAACACCTATGGGAGGTCTGTGTCTGTATTATCAACCCGCAAAGGGATCAACACCGTATTGCCTTTCACCGCGAGGCAAGGCGTTACAGTGTGGATAATGTACGTTTGCAGTATGGAATTTCGTACAAAGAATAATGACCACCTCGAATTGATACGGTTGTGATCCGTTTCCGGGTTGATAAATGTTTTGTCCATAATCCCTCAATATGTGCCTTCGTTTAAAAACTACTTTTTATATTTTACACAGAAACTTACTTCTGATTCGGTGCATTTTATTTCCATAAGCGAGATCCCAGTAGTAAAGAGTGGTAAATGTAAGAGGTACTAAAGGTACCAAAAAGTATGCCCTTTTTGTCCTCCTAAAACTGAAAAAGAGTAATATTCGAAACGGTAAATTAAATAGGCAAGTACTTTTAAAATTTTCTCATATTTAAAAAATACAGAAGGGTGAACGTACTGGAGGCATTATTAAAAAAATAAATAATTATGTAGATAATAAATTAAGGTAATAATTAGCAAAATGGAAAGAGAAATGTTTAATTGTCTTTAAATAGGGTTTATAAAAGGTTAAAACATCAAATTATGATCACTTATCCAGCCATAAACAATAGCATGCAAATACAAATTCATTGGTTAAACATACAGCAGTTAATTTGAAATTTATTAAAAATGAATCGTGATACTACTTAATTAAAATACCAGATTTAATTATTAATAATTGTTGGAATAAAACAACGATAAGAATAAATTAATTACTTATTGCTGATTCTCCTTGTATCATAAAATTTCTCGGAGAGAGTAGAAATATCGCGCGACAAGTCACTTATGCCATGTCCTCTTGAACTGATTAAAGGATAGTTCTTAAACATCATTATCTTTTTATTATTAATAGAAAAAACATGCAAGAAAAGTTGTTTTTTACTTTTTGCGATAAAATCAAGGTCTATTCAAATTTACTTTAGATATAATTTTATTTGTTTGCTATTTAATCAGACACTATTAAGTACCTACAGATAAAAACTAAATAAAACCTTGTAAAAATATAGACTTACCCAGTAAACAAGGCTGTAGCTGCAGTGATTGAAAAAACAGTAAGCCAGAGACAAGTGTCCCTATTTTTAGCAATTTGCATCGCCATTTGTCGTTCTTGCATTTGATATTGCAATTGTATTTGTCTCTCCATCTAAAATACAATTTTAATTAATATATGTGAGGTACAAAATGTGACCTCATGATAATGAATAATAAATGAATTAAAATATACCTTAATTTTGTTTATTGTTTGAATAAACTCTTGATTTTTCTTGAAATTTTCTTCCATATTTATTGAAAAATAGTTTCCCATTTTTTTGAATTACTTATTTTGAATTACTTAATTAAAACAAAAGATAAATAATTGGGCGCTGTCTTTATAGCTTGCTCTTGTTACTTGACAAAGATGACAGCAAAGAATACTCACTGACAACAACAGCGAGTGAATTAATAAAAAAAATTGTTTGACCAGAAAAGTTTTGTTACTGCTCACTGTGCAACTCGATTTAAATATTAATACAGGTAAGTACCAAACATGCTTGCTATTGATTGAAATATGTAAAACATAATAATATTCCCGATCTACATTAAACGAGGTATTAAGTTAAAGCAGGCCTGGCTCACTCCGCGCGGCACATCCGATAATTACCTACAGCGAAGCGCCCCGCCGGCGGGTATTATATCAGTCGAGTGTCACGCGCGCGCCCGTCAGGACGCTGGCGTGCGTTGTAGTATGATTATAATTTTATGATCGAAGTATTATTTAAAAATGGACATAAAGAGAAAGAAATATTGTGCGGCGTTCGGGTGTTTAAATTCGAAAAGAAATCTACCGGATTTATCTTTTTTTTTCGCTTCCCAAAGATGCTGAAAGGTATGTTGGCCATGTAGGTAATCAATGATTCTTAGGATAGTATAGGAACCTAACCTACTATGACTACTGCTCAGAATGCGTTCGTTCGTTTCAGCCAAATGACGTCCACTGCTGGACAAAGGCCTCTCCCAAGGTTTCCCATAATGAATGCATACTTACCTACTTACGTACCTCATTACAAATAAGTAGATTAATTATTTTTTCACTAGACAGCAACCCTAACAGCGTAAGAAGAGTTCAGAGGCACGCGATAGAAAGAGACAAAACTTGTAGGTGAATAAAATTGTAGGTACGTAGTGCTGTGCGAGCTGAATTCCACTGTATCGCGTCGTAACAAGACTCGCATTTATTTAAATCGTCTTGCGGAGTAATCCTTCTGTACCTGTACTATTACTTATTCTGTGGTTAAAGGTCTATTTTGTTATAAACATATCGATTTAACAATTAATTGTTGTAATCGATTGCATAGTGCAACACTAATGTCAAAATCAGTCAGATCATCAGCTGTCCTTTTACTATGCTTGTGTCAAAAATCTCCCGCCAAATTCCTCTGTTCTGTTGCTGTTGTACAGTTTGGGCTTTTATATTTTAATTTGTAAAGAAAACAAGTTATTGGTTTAATTGTTACTGATAAATCTTCAAAATGGGTATTTTAGGTTTATCTAAGTTAATAGCGGACATAGCTCCTCAGGCTGTGAAAGAAATGGAAATCAAAAATTATTTTGGTGAGTTCAATGTTTTCATAATTTTACATAATAAATGTACATAAATTGCATTTTAAACTAACGTTTTTCTATTATAAAAGGTCATGCATACCTTTGATACCTTTCCCATTGGTAGAAAAAGCACATAAATGCCATGCAATGCCAGCCATCCATATTCCATGATAGTAAAATGCTATTCGTTTTACAATGCTAACTTATGAATGAAATCTCTGAAACCGACATAATCCTGCTTATTCACAACTAGTTTATAAACAAATCTTGATTAATTTATTTGACATCCAATTTAGGTTATGTTCTATCATTATCATTGGATTCCCTTTTCTCAGGAAGAAAAATTGCGATTGATGCGTCCATGAGTTTGTACCAGTTCCTGATTGCTGTCAGAAGTGAAGGTAAGCAATTCCTTGTAGTTGACTGGAAGACAATGTTTATTGCTAAGTCGCTGTAAGATCAGAGGATGTAACATCTTTCTATAACATGTGGACTATCAAGTAAGTAATTGAATCACTGTATATCAAGTTATGCTGGACTTGAAAGGCTATTCACAAAGGTTCTCTCTTAATCAAATCAAATCAAAAACATTTATTCAATTTTTACCACTATTTTGACACTTATGAACGTCAAAAACAATTTAAAAAGATAGGCCTTAAGTGCCCCCACTTTACTTGTCTCTTTCTTTATCTTTTGGGCCCTACCAGCGCTTCGAGACAAACATGGCAAATGCGGGAACAAACTCAGTCACCACTCTTTTATACTTATTATTTGATAATACAAACAAACTCATTCCTTTCTCCAGGTTCACAACTGATCGCAGCAGACGGAGAGACCACGTCTCATCTCATGGGCACATTCTACCGCACAATCCGGCTCGTAGAGAACGGTATCAAGCCAGTGTACGTGTTTGACGGGAAGCCACCGCAGCTGAAGTCTCACCAGCTGGACAAGAGAGCAGAGAGACGTGAGGAGGCAGAGAAGGAACTGCTGAAGGCTACGGAAGCTGGTAATTTATATTTTTTACCTTATTTATAGATCTATAGTCTGGTCCGGGAGCATGTAGAATTTTGTCCAATGACCCCAAGCTACCCATCCTTATCGCTCGCGCGTTATTATGTTGCTGTCGCTTTCGCACACTCACTGCGGGCGCCCGTCGCACAGTCGCGACAGCAATATAATTACGCGCGAGCGATAAGGATGGGTATCTTGGGGTCATTGGACAAAATTCTACGTGCTCACGGACCAGGCTTTAGTAAATATAATCTTTGTGTATGTTTTGCCAGGCGATCAGGTCTCCATCGAGAAATTCAACCGTCGTCTGGTGAGGGTGACAAAGAAGCATGGCGAAGAAGCGCGGGAACTCCTCAAGTTAATGGGCGTGCCGGTTGTGGAGGCGCCGTGCGAGGCCGAGGCGCAGTGCGCGGCCCTGGTAAGTGAGATTAGATAGGACTAAGGCCCGTTTTCACCATTAATCCCTATTTTTAAGTGACTATACACACCCTATATACACACACACACATCACATATAACTGGTAACACATGAAAGGAATTTTGTTTTCATAGGTGTCACTTAAAAATTAGAGATTAATGGTGAAAACGGGCATAAGGCCTCTTGCCCACGACGACTTTTTATAGCGATGCAGTGGCGACTAAGGTTTACGGTGACTATCATCATCGCATCGATACAGTCGCAATACGACCTACCTGTGTGCCCTTGATAAACACGATTCAGTCGTGATGCAAACGCGATTCAGTAACAGCACAAAATTACCTGCGAACGCTACAGTTGCCATGCCACTCCCTCCGTTCTCTAACCGATGTCGTCCGACACGGCCGGTCGCGCGTTTGTATCGATACAGTCGTGATGCTTTAGCGCATTAATATTACTACCGTAGCGCGTTCACATCACTTCTGTAGCGCGTTGGCAACACTTCTGTAGCGCGTTGGCATCACTTCTGTATCGCGTTGGCATCACTTCTGTAGCGCGTTGGCATCACTTCTGTATCGCGTTGGCATCACTTCTGTAGCGCGTTGCAAATGCGACAAAACGCGACATCACAACTAAAAGTAGTTTAGTAAGGTAGATTCTTTATTTAATTAGTACTTCTTTTCCAGGTAAAAGCAGGCAAAGTGTACGGTGCGGCCACAGAGGATATGGACGCGCTATCGTTCGGAGCGACTGTCCTGTTACGACACATGACCTTCTCCGAAGCACGTAAGATGCCCGTACAAGAGTTCCATCTGGACAAAGTGCTGGACGGATTAGGATTGAAACAGAACGAGGTGAGCATTCAATACTTAATATTTTATTATATCCATAAAGTACTTAAAATTAGAACATTATGGGCCCTGTAGGACACGACAGTTAGAAGAGAGGAGGACCACCCCAGATCAGCCGAAAAATTCAGTAGTCTGATTCACAAATTATGAGGCTAGATAAATGTTGATCACAGACACGTGTTAAGATGATTGCAAAGATGCCCAATGTAGTAATTTGCTTTTCATACTTGCCATTTAATTTTTGGCATACGAGCCTAATAAAAAAACTTACGTTAGCATAAAAAGCCGCAAACTCAGTCATCACTTTTTGCGTGATACAATCGTTATACGTTCACATTATAAGCCTAGTTGTAGACTACAGACTTTTTCTGTTACGACCTTTACTTTTAGACTCCCGCAGACTGCAGTCGGCCGATAGTTGGTCCCGATTCAGATTTGTATGAAAAATCGGCCGATCCAATGTGCCCACTTTCATACATCTCCATATTGATTTGATCAATCGGCCAACTAAAAGTCATCTGCGCCTAGGCTAAGGAGTACCCTTGAATTTAACTCGCATCATTTCCTCAGTTCATAGACCTATGCTTCCTTCTCGGCTGCGACTAAAGCCTGGTCCGTGAGCACGTAGAATTTTGTCCAATGACCCCAAGCTACCCATCCTTATCGCTCGCGTGTAATTATATTGCTGTCGCGACTGTGCGACGGGCGCCCGCAGTGAGTGTGCGTGCGGGTAGCTTGGGGTCATTGGACAAAATTCTACGTGCTCACGGACCAGGCTTTACTGCAGTTCATCCGCGGGATTGGTCCCAAGCGCGCCATAATATGACAGATCAAGCTAAACTCCGACTTGTGTAGTTGTAACAGGGGTTATTTTGCCACAAAATTTAGTCTAAGCCTAGGCGCAAACCACCAACTTTTTGTCGGCCGATAGTTGAGCCCGATTCTAATTTGTATGAAATCGAAATCGGTGTAATGTGCGCACTTCCATACATGCCTGTAGGCAACTAAATTTTAACTTGATTTTTCTGTCAAGTTGCTGGGCGGGGCCTGTCACTTGACACGTTGACAAGCAGTTTCATGGTAAACAAGAGCTTTGACGTTTGAAATTAAATTAATAACTTATTGCATCGTAACTGATCACTTAAAATTTTGTTAAATACTTAACTACTTAATACGTGTAAATCAGCCTATATTTATTTATTTATATTAGGAAGACCAGGGTTTACATAATTGATTATTTTACAATTAATAACACTTTATAACCACTTATAGGTCCCCACAGATAGAATTGTGGTGGATATTTGGACGTAGTTATGCTACAACGCTCCAACCCACATGCAGGTCGAACTGAGAAAATAGCGTTTTTGTAAATTTGTGGTACGCTTTTTTTGGTAGCGAGTAGAATTGAGCAGTATGTATCACTTCAACTAAATAAATAAACGTTATTTTATTACATACTTGTCATTAAAATTTACTAATTTTTCTAATACAAATTTTGAAAAAAATGTACTTGGAACGTTTCTGCAAAAAGGCCCCTTGCATGCAAGTAGCTTTCAACCCATTTTGCAAAAACGTTCCAAAGTGTGAAAATTCGTATATTTCCGTAGTCAATGTATATATTTTTTTCAAAAATATACTGATTAACTGTCCAACTAAACTATCGCCCGACGAAAAATCGGTGGTCTGCCTAGGCTAATACATAATTTTCTCCTCAGTTCATAGACCTGTGCATCCTTCTCGGCTGCGATTACTGCGGCTCCATCCGCGGGATCGGTCCCAAGCGCGCCATCGAGCTCATCCGCCAGCACCGCTCCCTGGAGCAAGTGCTGAAGAACATCGACACGAGCAAGTACCCGCCGCCGGAAGACTGGGACTTCGAGGGCGCCCGGAGACTGTTCGTGGAGCCCGAGGTCGCCGACCCCAGCGGGATCGAGGTGAGAGACACTTGGATAAAGTCCGGTCGCCGAGCAGATAGGATTGCGTCCAATGACCCCAAGCTACCCATCCTTATCGCCCGCCCGCGCGGCCGCAGTGAGTGTGCGAGCGAGACAGCAATATAGTTACGCCATATTGGGGTCATTGGACAGAATTTTATGTGCTCGGCGACCGGACTTTAGTATATGCCAGGAGACTGTTCGTGAAGCCCGAGGTCGCTGACCCCAGCGGGATTGAGGTGAGACACTCGGATAAAGTCCGGTCGCCGAGCACATAGAATTTCGTCCAATGACCCCAAGCTACCCATCCTTATCGCATCACAGTGAGTGTGCGAGCGAGACAACAATATAATTACGATATGTTGCTGTCTCGCTCAGACACTCCCTGCGGCCGCTCGTCGCAGTCGCGACAGCAATATAATTACGCGCGAGCGATAAGGATGAGCAGCTTGGGGTCGTTGGACGAAATTCTATCTGCTCGGCGACCGAACTTAAGCATACGCCAGGAGACTGTGGATTGAGGTAGGAGTCTTAGAAGACACTCCGATGGCGTATCGTAAATGGTCTGTAAACGGACTAAAGTCACTGACAAATCCCGACGGATTAGCAAGCTGAGGTCACAATGGGCAGGGCACATAGTACATAGAACTGAAGCTAAATGTCCCAAGCGCGCCGTCGAGCTCATCCGCCAGCACCGCTCCCTGGAGCAAGTGCTGAAGAACATCGACACGAGCAAGTACCCGCCGCCGGAAGACTGGGACTTCGAGGGCGCCCGGAGACTGTTCGTGGAGCCCGAGGTCGCCGACCCCAGCGGGATCGAGGTGAGACACTCGGATAAAGTCCGGTCAGCCGCGACAGTAATATAATTACCCGCCGCCGGAAGACTGGGACTTCGAGGGCGCCCGGAGACTGTTCGTGGAGCCCGAAGTCGCCGACCCCAGCGGGATCGAGGTGAGGCACTCGGATAAAGTACGGTCGCCGAGCAGATAGGATTGCGTCCAATGACCCCAAGCTACCCATCCTTATCGNCTCGGATAATGTCCGGTCGCTGAGCAGATAAGATTGCGTCCAATGACCCCAAGCTACCTATCCTTCCGCAGTGAGTGTGCGAGCGAGACAGCAATATAATTACGGTATATTGCTGTCTCGCTCGCACACTCTGCGGCCGCCCGTCGCACAGCCGCGACAGCAATATAATTACACGCGAGCGATAAGGATGGGTAGCTTGGGGTCATTGGACTAAACTCTATGTGCTCGGCGACCGGACTTTAGCATACGCCAGGAGACTGTTCGTGGAGCGCAAGGTCGCTGACCCCAGCGGAATTGTGGTGGAAGACACTTAAATAGGATACTAAAAGTAGCGCTTAGCTCAGTCAGTACCTGAGGTACGGGAGGCTGTTTTTGTAACGTCAAACGACAGCAAAACTTCAGATTTGTATGATCTGTCACGTTATAATATGTCCTCCCATGCCGCTTCCATACCCTGGACTGACTTAGTTAAGCTACACCTATAGTCAATTACTGGTACCGTCTTAACTACTGCGGCTCCATCCGCGGGATCGGTCCCAAGCGCGCCATCGAGCTCATCCGCCAGCACCGCTCCCTGGAGCAAGTGCTGAAGAACATCGACACGAGCAAGTACCCGCCGCCGGAAGACTGGGACTTCGAGGGCGCCCGGAGACTGTTCGTGGAGCCCGAGGTCGCCGACCCCAGCGGGATCGAGGTGAGACACTCGGATGAAGTCCGGTCAGCCGCAACAGTAATATAATTACGCGCCGCCGGAAGACTGGGACTTCGAGGGCGCCCGGAGACTGTTCGCGGAGCCCGAGGTCGCCGACCCCAGCGGGATCGAGGTGAGGCACTCGGATGAAGTCCGGTCAGCCGCAACAGTAATATAATTACGTGCCGCCGGAAGACTGGGACTTCGAGGGCGCCCGGAGACTGTTCGCGGAGCCCGAGGTCGCCGACCCCAGCGGGATCGAGGTGAGACATTCGGATAAAGTCCGGTCGTCGAGCAGATAAGATTGCGTCCTATGACCCCAAACTACCCATCCTTACGCGTAATTATATTGCTGTCGCGACTGTGCGACGGGCGGCCGCAATGAGTGTGCGAGCGCGACAGAAATATATTTAGACTTCGAGGGCGCCCGGAGACTGTTCGTGGAGCCCGAAGTCGCTGACCCCAGCGGGATTGAGGTGAGACACTCGGATAAAGTCCGGTCGCCGAGCACATAGACTTTCGTCCAATGACGCTCGCACACTCACTGCGGCTGCCCGTCGCACAGCCGCGACAGTAATATAATTACGCGTGAACGATAAGGATGGGTAGCTTGGGGTCATTGGACAAAATTCTATGTGCTCGGCGACCGGACTTTAGCATACGCCAGGAGACTGTTCGTCGAGCCCGAGGTCGCCGACCCCAGCGAGATTGAGGTGGGAGACACTTTATTAGATTTATATGTCATAATTTATATCAATATCACCCCTCTTTATGTCAATGAACTGAGGTAGAAGATACTTCAATGGGATATTTATATTGATAGTTTGTAAGAACTTACGACTTCACTAATAAGAGTTTTCGCGTATGAAACATCCGCCAGATAGCAATACGTAGACGCGAGGTTCAAATGCTGCATGATTGGTTATTTTCGACATGACATTGACAGATATGTCAAAATCCACCAATCACGCAGCAGTCAGACCCCACATCCATGTCCCGCCGTCTAGCGGATCTTTCATACGCGAAAACCCTCATTGACCTGGTAAAATTATCATTTATATTAATTTTTAATTTATTCCACATTGGCTGGTCTTGAGCTGCCTGCATCCAGGTACTTCCTACGACTTTATCTAGATCAGTGTTTTTCAACCTTTTTCATGACGCGACCCCTAGCATCAAAAAAAAGTTTCGCGACCCCCCGACCGTTCGCTTTTTTTTCATGTCTTTTATAAAGATGTTGTAGGGAACAAATTCTTTAATCTATACAACAGTTATGCATTTGTATAATTAGATTTCGGATAAATCTAATTTTAAACTTCTCTGGTTTTTTTGCTGAGGTAGTTTTTACGACCTCTCGCGACCCTACTATGGAGGCTTGAGGACCCCCTGGGGGGTTGCGACCCACAGGTTGAAAAACACTGATCTAGATCATCGCGTCAGTCCATCACTGGCAAAACAGTATCGCTATTTCACTCTATTTAATGCAAGTGTGATAGTCCTACTGCTTCAATAGGCTAGTTGCCTAAAAAAATTTTTGTAGTCCGTAATGTTTAATATCAAAAAATATTGGACACGTATATTTTTATTTGTCAATCTAACAAATAATTACATAGTTATGGTGCGTTGAAGTTGCGCACGACGTCACAACGTGCGGCATTTTTAAGCAAGCGTTGACGTCACGGGCCTCTTCTTATGAACTTTGGGGCGCTTTATCTCTTTAAATTTTCATTAGTTTGAAAAAATGAAAAATACGTGTAGAGTATTTTTTGATAAGTTAACTGACGGACTAATTAAAACTCTTGCTTTTTGACCCAGGCAACATCCCAATTGGCGCCACTATCGAATGACAAAACATTAATCGCCAGTGGCGTCAACTGGAGTGATAATCTGACACCATTTTTGATCTACAATCATTGTTGATATTCAACCACCTATAACCATGTTTATTCCATTCCAGCTAAAATGGACAGATCCGGATGAAGAGGGCTTAGTAAAGTACCTCTGCGGCGACAAGCAGTTCAACGAGGATCGCGTGAGAGCGGGCGCCAAGAAACTGCTGAAGGCTCGCTCCGGCACCACGCAGGGACGCCTCGATGGGTTCTTTAAGGTCAGTCGATGAATATAATATTACTAGCGGCCGCCCGCGACTTCGTACGCGTGGATCCCGTTTTACCCCCTTCATCTATCTAACGCGGTTTAGATTTTTTCATACAAATGTTTTTTCCCGCTAACTCCCGTTTCCGTGGGAATTTTGCAATATCCTGTTGTAACTAAGCTTTAAGTTTACTAAGGTACCTGCATGCCAAATTTCAAGCGTCTAACTTAAGCGGTTTAGATGGTATGTATTGTAGCTATACCTAGTTGACAGATCTGGACGAGGAGCGGCAGTGGCGTAACGTAAAGTGCGTTAAACGGACATTAGATCTCTTTTCCAACTGTTGGTATTGGTAGCTACATCCTTGAGGTTGAGGTTCAACGAGGATCACGTGAGAGCGGGCGCCAAGAAACTGCTCAAGTGAGTCGATGGAAATGCTTCCAGAATTATTGGCGTATCATCATCATGTCAGCCAGGACGTCCACTGCTGAACAAATGCATCATCCAGCGCCTTCCTGCAATCATTATAAGGACATCTGTCCACCTTATAGGTGTGGGGTCACACGGTATGTGGCCTCCATTTCAGAACCAGTTGCATACTCTGGTAGCTACATCCTTGATCTTCCCTGGGAATCGAACCTGGGATCTCTGGGTCTGAAGCAAGTAGTCTGTGTGAAACGTGATCGTTTTATGTCCAAAATAGGGGTGCTGATTTAGCGATCATCAGTTGGTGCCACTGTCAAACCTACAGTGACAGGATTTTATTCAAATGGCGCCAATATCTGAAAGCAATTATTTGCTGCGACATCCAAGCAAGGGGTTACTCCGAAAAACGTTATCCGAAGTTTCAAATGTTGCCATCCCTCTCACGCAAAGAAAGATACCATCATGTGCGACGGTGACAGATAGACTCGAACAGCGTTTCGGAGTAACCCCTCTGGTACAATCAGCGTCAAATAGTTCAGGACACCCAAACTAGCCAAAAAGTTCGTAACACGTCTTTGTTACATTGGAATAAGGTTGTGTGTAACAAACTATTTGACGCTGACTGTACAATGAACTGCACACTTTTGATGCAATATCGTCCTTATCACAACTACAAAAGAGCTTAATATCCTGCAAAACTAACTGTTTTTGAACACAGGTACTATCAACGACACCGAACCCCAAGAGAAAAGCAGAAGAAGAGAAAAAGAACGCCAACAAGAAAGCCAAAACGGGGGGCAGAGGACGGAAGCCCAAATAACTATAGAGTAAGCTATTTTCAACCTAAATCCATGACCATAAGGTCGTAATTTACAATTCAGAAAATATTATGTGTACTCGTAACTAGGGTAAGCTATTTTCAACCTAAATCTATGGCTTTAAGGTCGTAATTTACAATTCAAAAAATATTGTGTCTACTCGTATTTTAACTAGGGTAAGCTATTTTCAGCCTAAATCCGTGGCTTTAAGGTGAGTATAGACTGGAACATTTCTTTATAATGTAACGTTTTTGTGATTGGTACAATAGAGTTAAAATGTGCGACGTTTGGTTCGTCAAAGGGTGACACTAGAACATTTGATAGAGTGGCTCGTTGTCGTTGTTCTGTTACAAGTAAGTACTCTAGTCTATACTCACCTTTAAGGTCATATTTGTGATTCAAAAAATTATTACGTTTAAGTAGGGTAAGCTATTTTCAGCCTAAATCCCTCTGAAATCAAGCATAATTTGGCATTTTAAACCATAGACAACTACAGTGCTCATCTTAAATGCTGCTTCCATTATACTCTTTGGCACACAGCGAAAGATTTCTCACTCTAAAAACTGGTAAGTACATAAGTTGTAACTTTTCTCGCTATGTATTTGTCTATGGATACAATAATGTGAAAGCATGTTGAATATCCGGTTTCTACCTGGTCCAGGCTAAGCCTAGGCGCAGACCACTGACTCAGTTGGCCGATAGTTGAGACGGGCTGTTAATCAATATGGACTTGTATGAAAGTGCGCACATTGCACCGATTTGCTATAGGCCGATTCTTCATACAAATTAAAATCGGGCTCAACTATCGGCCAACTAAAAATCGGTGGTCTGCGCCTAGTCTAAGAACCGCCCATCGCCGGACCACATGGAAACTGGCTAGTCACCAAATGCCCTAAAGATTTAAACTATAGTCTGGTCCGGGAGCACGTAGAATTTTGTCCAATGACCCCAAGCTACCCATCCTTACCGCTCGCGCGTAATTAAAATTATATTGCTATCGCGACTGTGGGACGGGCGCCCGCAGTGAGTGTGCGAGCGCGATAGCAACATAATTACGCGCGAGCGATAAGGATGGGTAGCTTGGGGTCATTTGACAAAATTCTACGTACTCCCGGACCAGACTATACCTAAATATTATAAATACGTTCAATATTATTTGATAAGTAGTTTTTAATGTTTATTTTTCGACAGAAACCTACTCATGGGTTGACTAAAATTATGCGGGTTTTTAAAATTGAATCTAAAATTATTGTGTGATACGATTTCGATTACCGTGCGTTGCGCATTGCGTCCGCGGACGGCGTGCACTTATCTCTTAGTAATGTACTGCCTTTAATTAGACAGTGGATCAATCGGTCAGCAATTAATATTTTGAACAATGTTAAATGCCTCGTTGTAATAGTTCGCACAGCGCGAGTTGAGGCGATCAACACAAGCAAAGATTTGTGTATAGCCTGACCAGGAACATAAAAACCCTGGCATAGAGGCGCGTCAATTGCATTTGATAGTGCAACACTGAGTACAGTCGTACCTGTGTTAAATTAATAGGCTAACTTTATGTATCAGGATTCAGGATTACGGGCTAATTTGATATTTTCATAAATTAACGAAAAAATATTATTATAGGTAACCTGGTTTAAATAAATTAAATGAAACCATCAATCGAGCTAGTAGGATTTATTTTATTATTCATCAATAATCAAATTCAGAACTTGAATATTCAACTGCAATGTCTGCTCATGAACGCTTCAAACTCGGTACTTCTTTCCCAATTCCATAAAATTCAACACTTAGAAAGTGACAAAAAAATTTAAAATAGGTAGTTGAAATAAACCACAGCTAATTTTCATAGTGGACTGTACTATGCGATAAACATGTCAGTCAATTTGACAACCTTTGTCGGAAACATTATTCAATGAAAATATTGTCCGAACCCTTAGTATTTCTCTTCGACAAATACTTTAACACATTGTAAACCACTTTTCTTTCACGACTATAAAAAGATTTTAGCAATTTAATTCACAAAATCAATTGCGCACATTTAAAATAAAGTTTGTTTACACTTTGACAGCAATAGACTGACATGCAAGGTGACATGACAATGAAGTTTTCAGTTACTGTTGCCATTAAAAGAAATTAGTACCATTAGTTTTCCGCAACATGGCGAGGGTTTTTATGTTCCTGGTCAGGCTATATATTTTATTATGTAATATGCAAAAGCGTGGTAGATAGTGTATTCGATATTTGAATGTGTTAGACTAAGAGCTAGTGAACGCCAGACCTACGTCATTTTATAAAAGCCGAGTTTGTCAGCGTATGCTCCCAATATACGTGTTTGGGTCATCGTCGCTTTGGCAGATATCCTAAAAAACTGGCAAGGAGTTGGAACTGTCAAAACTATCTGGCTGATGAGGAAACTACGATAGGAAGTTGTTTCCACATCAGCCAGATAGTTTTGGATGGATTAGTTTTTTTTATTAGGAGAGCTGCCAAAGCAACGATGACCCAAACTTCATGATTCACCAGCATTCTAACCTATATTGGGAGCATACGCTGACAAACTTTCAGCTTTTATAAAATGACGTAGGTCTGGCGTTCACTAGCTCTTAGGCCCAGAACAGACGGTGAAACGCAACTGCAACGAAACTGCAACTGCTAGTTACATTTGAGTTGCATCTAAGTTTCTGCCATAGCGTCCGTTGAGAGACCATACATGACGCAACCAGTTTGAAACTTTCAATTTCAGTTTCATTCATCAGAATTATCAGAAAGTTGCAGTTTCGTTGCAGTTGCGTTTCACCGTCTGTTCTGGGCCTTAGTCTATATTGTGTGCTACGTCAGTGCGAGTCCCTTGTTCGCCTCAACTTTCGTTAGGCGACGTATACATGTCTTGAAGTTACTTTATTAAGTTTAGTTGCATAAATGACACAAGACAGCTGGTCTGTTAGATTATGTATAACATGTGATGTGGTGATTGTTTTTATGCCATTTATGGGACTGTAACCTAGGTAGGGTAGGTACGTCTTTGATTTTTTATAAGGGCTCTTACACATAAACACCGTTACGATATGACGTCACGTCGTGCTACGATGCGGAAATGATGCAGTCATTTCCGTATAATATCAACGCAATGTCTATAATTTGTGAATATTGAAAGAATGCACAATGAGTTTCTAAGATACGGCATCTTAGCGTGTTTATGTGTAAGAGCCCTAACGCAAGTAGTCACGTAATTTCGTAAAGAACAGGTATTCTATGGCGGACTTCCGTGAAAAATCTTAATTATGTGGCAGATAATTATAATTATTTTATTATTGATTACCGAATAAAGACTTCTAATCATTCATTCTATTATTTTTATACGACTTTTTTCATAATCAACACGAAAGATAATTTAAATGGACATAATCGATAACTTCAGCCTAATCGAACTTTGTCTAATACAAAAGGTAAATAAAAAAGCATTTTCGTAAAACATAAAATTAATATATTACTCTAAATACAACATCCTAGAAAACAAACTTTCTCATACTACATAACCAACGCATACATAAGTATTAAGCACACATACACATAAAATGGGCTGATATGCTGAAAAATTGGGATAGTAGACATTTAAAAGCAGCCCTATAATTTTAAGTATGAGATTTCATACAAAAACGAGTAAAAATCCGATTTTGTATGAATTCTCACACATACAAATATCTTTAAAAGATCTCGTAATAAAGCGATAGTAACAACTATAAAGTAATATGATTCTTGTTCAACTATAAAATATAATTTTCTATATCCATTTTATATTTGTGATTCACTTTTACACTTACAAATAAATTAAGTTTTTAATGCCAGTGCTAAATACATAGCAGACAATACATAATAAAACCTACTCATATAAGATTAACATCAAATATTGCAGAGATTATATCATTGATTTTATATATCTTTATAAAATATACAGGGTGACTGGAACTGAACCCGCCATAGCTAATACGCGTATAGAGGAGGTCATTTGCTAATTATTGAACCTTACTTTCTATGACTAAAGTTTTATAGTTTAGGAGATATTACAATTTTTATACTTGTTTCAGATTTTCCCGATATTTGACCTAAAAACTGCTTAAATTTTTTTTCTCGCATGATTTTAACCGATTTTTTTATTTGATACTAATATCGAATAAACCTTTAGTCAAATAAAATAAATTTCAGATCTAGATAATGATTTAAAAACTAGTTACGAGCCGCCAAAGTTCAACAAAAGTACAAACCACGATAAAAAATTCAAATTCGATTTCGATTTAAGAAAAAACTAATGGTGATAATGGATTGCCAATGATCTTAAAAATATATCTACCTTCTCTTCTTTCCAATGACATATCACACGTAGTAATTAGATATTGAAATTAATAAAAATTCAAAGTTTATGGAAGAAAATGGAGTAATTTACGAAAATTATCCATACAAATTTTCTTCAAACAACTCATAGTTTCTGCTATACTCCTTTTCATAACTATTTTCGTGGTTTTTTTTTAAATGAATTTAAAAATAATAATCACATTATAAAGAAAAAAAAATTCCAAAAATTCAAAATCAACTTTGTATGGATAATTTTTGTATTATTACTCCATTTTCTTCCATAAACTTTGAATTTTTGATAAATTTCAATATCCAATTACAACGTGTGATATATCATTGGAAAGCAGAGAAGCTGGAGATATTTTTAAGATTATTGGCAATCCATTATCACCATTAATTTTTGTTTCGATCGAATTTGAAGTAGAATTTTTTAACGTGGTTTGTACTTTTGTTGAACTTTGGCGGCTCGTAACTAGCTATTCAATCATTATCTGGATCAGAAATTTATTTTATTTGAATAAAGACATATTCGATATTAATATCAAATAAAAAAAACTGTTGAAATCACGCGAGAAAAAAAATTGAAGCAGTTTTTAGGTCAAATTTCGGAAAAATCTGAAAAAAGTATAAAAATTGACATATCTCCTAAACTATAAAACTTTTGCCATAGAAAGTAAGGTTCAATAATTAGCAAATGACCTCCTCTATACGCCTATTAGCTATGGCGGGTTCAGTTCCAGTCACCCATAAGTTTCCAACATCTTAAAACGGCTTCAATATTTTATTATTGTTTGAACATTTTGTTTCACTGAGTTCGGTATTGCTATTAAAATGTTTGTATAAATTTCATAAAGCATAACATTTTAATGTTTTAAATATTTATCATAAATATGTTTCGGCTAACGTTGTCATTTCAAGCTTTACATGGCGGGTCCAGGGTACTTTCTTTGTGACATGTCTTTCAAGAGATTTTTGTTCGTAAACCAGTCAATTATGAACAATAACAATCATGTCATTTTTATACGTTTTTATAATCAGAAAATGACTGTAGTTCTTGGATCACACGGATCACACCCTAGTTGTTTTCCAAACCGTATCATCATTTACAATTAGTGTCCGACCGAATATGGATTTTCAACCGAAAACGGAAACGAAAACGAAGCTTCGGCTGCAGTCTCATTTTCGGCCGAAAACGAAAACGAAAACGAAAATGACCTTCAACTCTCAAATTTCAATCTGAAATTATGTAAAAACTTTGAAAACCGTTAATGTTTTGACCAAAAACATAATGACGTTTGACAGTTGATTTTGATAAGGATTGATTAAAGAAAACCGGAAAACCTTGGGGGAGGCCTTTGTCCAGCAGTGGACGTCATTTGGCTGAAAACGAACGAACGAAAGAAAACCGGCATTAAAACACAAAAAAATAATTATGAATTCTTAGTAGAATATTATTTCCGGTGTATAATGAAATATTGGGAAGTGAAGAAGAAATAAAGGGTGTCCAGTGGGAATTTTTCAACTTCAAAAATAAATACAAATAAATTAATGATTTTTTATTATTTATTACTAATGCAAAGTGGAGTTTAACAATGCGGATTTAATTTTTTATAGGCAATGTCTTTTAAATGATGCCCGTTTTACTATAGGCACTCTCACAGCTGGACCCTTACATTCGCAACTATGCGAGAGCAAATCGCGCTAATAATTTTCCTGCAACTTCACGGCGGATATTTTCTTACAGAACCTGATTTATTTAAGGATTCTTTGCTGTAAACATTTGACTTGAGATATCCCCACAAGAAAAAGTCGCATGGTGTGAGATCTGGTGACCGAAGCAGCTAGGGTATGTCCCTGTACTTGCTGATCATTTATTTGAAAAAAAAAAAATAGTCCTCAGTGTCTCCATCGAGGTACTCTCCGTGTGTGGTGAGACACCTTCTTGCTGAAATAGAGTTACGTAGTTGACCGGGATGCAGTTGTGGTATCAGACATTCATCGATCATTTGACAATACATTTCAAATACTTATTGTTCAACTGCGAACGCTCTGTAGGCTCCCGACCAGTGAGTAGTGACTCATGGCGTATTTCAAATCCGCATAAGACTCTATTTTGAAACAATTAAACTTTATGAAAACTCTTTGGTTTTATTTGTATTCAATTTTGAACTTGGAAAATTATCTCTGGACACCCTTTACAACGTAACCTCACTTCACAACTTCAAAAGAGTGTGACAATACCGCGTCCGTTCAAGTCTGATTGGAACCATGAGTGCACCAGATTCACTCCCGAAGATATCGGAACGATAAACGTCACCATCTTATTCACGTATTTCTGATATTCGGTTTGGCCGAAGCTTCGGCTGGTTTTTGGCCGAAAACGAAAATATGGCCGAATGTCCATTTTTTGGCCGAAAATGGCCGAAAACGAAAACGAAAACGAATATTCGGTCGGTCACTATTTACAATACCCGGCGACAATAATATTGCACATCGACCTTAAGAAAGAGAAATCGGCTAATTTCGGTTTCGTAGAGCGTTATCTCTGTCGAACAACGACTGACAATGACGTTTTGTCAAAGTGTAAACAAACTTTATTTTAAATGTGTGAAAATTATTTTGTGAATTATTTTGCTAAATTTTTTTTATAGTCGTTAAACAAAAGTCGTTCACAATATGTTAAGTATATGTCGAAGAGAAATACTAAGGGTTCGGACAATATTTTCATTGAATAATGTTTTGTCAATGACGTTTTATCAATCGTATAGGTAGTGTGCGACAGAGATAACGCTCAACGAGCCGAAATTAACCGATTGTCTCTTTCCAAAGGTCGATGTGCAATATTTATTGCCGGGTACTGTACTATTCTCTTGTCATTTTGACTGACACCTGACATTCTTATCCTCCCCCCATTTCGTTTCTCTCTTTTCACTCTTGCGTCCCGCAAAAAACCGATCCGTTCGAATTTTTAATTCAAATTTCAAACACATTTGCATATTCACACGACAGACCATGGATTTCCATGGGAAAGTGTTAATTTCATAATTATCACCCTTTTATACCTATGTTTATGAATTATTAAATGATTTGATTTAAAGAGGGCCCTTAGACAACGTAATAAGTTTGAAACATCTTACGAAATAGATACATCTCCCTTTGACCCGCCCACTCTACAATTTAGAAGTTAGCCTTAAGGAAGTTGATCAGCCCGTTGGTAGACGCGTCGTGGGAGCTGACTGGGCTCGCATCCTGGAGCTCAGGCTCGATGGCCTTGGCGAGTTGCTTGCCGAGCTCCACACCCCATTGGTCGAAGGAGTTGATGTCCCAGATGATGCCTTGGGTGAAGATCTTGTGCTCGTACATTGCTGGGAAAATAAGGTAAATTATATTATAGTTCTTGCAACCAGAGTAAATACAAATGAGTAGGTCATCTTCATAGAAACGCACCGAGCGCGGTTTGTATGTGAGCGCGCCAATAGTCAATACGTATGCGGCGCGCACGCACACACTGACAAAATTTAGCGTGGTGTACGGGGTTACTCATTTGTATTTACTCTGTTGCAACTCACGAAGGCTAGTGAGCTTTACTTGTGTGTGTACGTGTACATGCACATAACGATAGTCTATCAACGCTATCTATCAAAACTTGGAAAACTAACAGTAGCGAGCCACCACACATGTAAAGCTCACTCGCCTTCGTGAATTGCAACAACTACGAGTATACGATAGTCAACGTCAGGAAGAGCTTTGGACCATTGAGATTCGTGTGCAAACACGCAACTTACTATTTTGTGCTATTAGATAAGTAATAAACATATAAAGCACTTAATGTATAGTTTAGCTACAGTAGGCTACTGGTTAACACTCCTTTTTCATATTCAATCCAAATCCGTCCGTCAACTGTTAAATTTTCATCTGTTTTTGGTCAAAATATCCACGGTAGTTGATGTCTTTACACTGTAACAGACTATTTTAACAATTTGAAAATTGTGGATATTTAATCGATATTGTTCATTCAAACAGATCCAAATTTGACAGTTGATGGACTGATTTGGATTGAATATGGAAAGCGGGCGTGGATATCATAGCTTGATATTGATATCATGTAGAAGAATCTTGGACGAATAAACCACTGGACGCGTAACGAGTGACGTTTTCGTCTTTACCCCGCTAGCACTTACCAAGGCTAAATTAGCCGTGGTAAATGTTGTCAGGTTGTCACTTTGTCAGTATGACGCGAGCTCTCGAAGAGTAAAAATATCACGAAAAATGGGTAAATGCGCCGTACTTTATTGCAAAAATTATTCCAGTCGCACAAAAAATGTTTCTTATCACGCGTAAGTACATTTTAAATCTATTATAGTAGCTATTTTTTCGTAAAATAAATAAAACTTAATATGTAAACAAAATATGATTACGTCATTTTGAAAAGTACTCATTGTACATGTAAATGCTTAAAACATGTAGCATGTTTAATTTGGTTGGATTATAGGTTTCATTCATTCTCATTTTTTATGACGTAAAGGGCTTGAAAAATGTCGATAAGTTTATCGATATACCAAACAAACTGAAACTGAAATTATTCAAATTAACTTGTTTATTGCTTTACGAATTTGATAATGATAACACAGCAAAAAAATATTTCACCTTAATTAACGAAACTTTCAATATTAAATCAATCCATAATTCATTTATCTCGTTAGGTTCATTCATTCATTCATTTGCATAACTATCGATAAAAATTTACGATCTTTTCCCAGCACTAAATGTCATTATTTGACAATTGTCAAACCTCTCCCCCCGCAAAAAGTGGTTGATCGTGTTTCCTTAGAAATCTTGTAGGTTTCGTGTCCAGTGGTTTATTCGTCCAAGAGAAGAATTATCTACGAGCAAGAATTCGTGGATAAAAGTTTTACAAAAAAATCTCACCAATCATTGACGACGAGCGAGTTGGTGGGCCGGTTGCCCTTGAACACCTTATGAGGGCATCCAGCGCCTTTTTCACCTTTCCACCTGTCCACCTTGTGGGTTGTTGGTGGAAGTGATACTTTGGCAAAAGCTATTTAATCATCATCATCATCATTTCAGCCATAGGACGTCCACTGCTGAACATAGGCCTCCCCTAATGCTTTCCACGTTGATCGATTGGTAGCGGGCTGCGTCCAGCGCTTCCCTGCTACCTTTACGATGTCGTCGGTCCAACTTGTAGGTGCTAAAGCTATTTAATAAGTCTCACCAATCATAGCGCCAAGGGTGAAGGGCGTGACCTTCTTGACGACGATCGAATTGGTGGGCCGGTTGCCCTTGAACACCTTGTGGGGTAGAATCTTGGCCACGGCCTCCGGAGCCATGCCTGACTTCTCCAGCTCGGCTTTAGCCTGGAGAAAGAAACGTTATACTTGGGGTATTTCAATATTACAGGGTGTTAGGTAAATAGGTATATGAGCCGACACTAGCCCATGTTAACATGGTCATATAAATGGTATGGTGAAGTCAGAAATCTGATATAATCATTTTATTTTTTTTAATTTTCATACAAAATAAATTTTATAAAATCCGATTTGTATGAAAAATAAAACAATTAAAATGAAGATATCAATTTTCTGACTTCACCATACCATTTATATGACCATGTTAACATGGGCTAGTGTCGGCTCATATACCCATTTACCTAACACCCTGTATACTGCGATTTAAACGCCAGACGGTGCATCGTCGCAAGATTTTAAACTGATATGCACGATTTGTGTATGTCAGTGCATGTGACACGACTAAGTAGAATGATTAGATACATTTAAAATGTAATAGAACAATATCTATATATATAAAAGAAAGTCGTGTTAGTTACTTCGCTTATAACTCAAGAACGGCTAAATCGATTTAGCTGAAAATTGTCAGGGAGGTAGTTTAGAGCCAGGAGAAGGACATAGGATACTTTTTATCCCGTTATTTATTGCCATTAAGGCGGAACAAAGTTCGCCGGGTCAGCTAGTATTCAATATATTTATTGCATTCCATGCACTGAATGTGCAAACCGCACGAAGCCATAATCTAACAAAAAAAAACAATACGTGTATGACATTTAGGGCACATCCAAATTAGATGCGTGGGGAAGCGCTGCAGTAGCAGCACTATAGCGTAATTTAAAGGCGCTCTTACAGAACGCTCATGCAAACGTAGACACTTGTGTCTTAAACTAGCGGCCGCCCGCGACTTCGTACGCGTGGATTCCGTTTTACCCCCTTAGGGGTGGAGTTTCGTAAAATCCTTTCTTAGCGGATGGCTACGTCACCTTTGAGTTATGATTATTTAGATGGAATATAATGTACTTATGGCCATATAAAGAAATTATGTCAAACTTACCTCCTCTGAGCTCTTCCCCTTCATAAGCGCTTCAGTCTGAGCCAAGAAGTTAGCGAGCAGGATCTTGTGGTGCACGCCGCCCGATATCGGGTTGTGTGTTTGCGCTGGCGCGATGAAGTCGCACGGGATCAGCCTGGGATGAAACGGGCTCGGTCAGTATGGTATTAAAATTTTCTAACGTTGAGATCTCAAATAATTTTTTTAAGTAGCTCAGATGGTGAGAGAAGCCGCCAGGCAAGCGAAAGGTCGACGGATTCCCACTTTAGGCAATTAGATTTTTTCAAGTTATTTAAAAATTATTTATTAATTAAATATCAATATGTGAATTACGTAGTGGGATGTGTTACCACATAAATAATACACAAGTCTAGTAGACAAGTTAATTTCTGTAACACATTTGTTTGTAATTCCTAAAATAAATAAATAAAATGGTCGCATAGTGTCCTTTGAGCATTGAAGTCATGGGTCAATTTACAAACAACTTCTTTAAAGAATACATAATAATTCCAGGCCTGAACACTGAAGTGAATTAGTTTTTATTAAGCTGTGAAATTATATTTTTTGTAGCGCTGACATTGTCAGTTAATTGATGTCGGGAACTGGTGACCTAATGGACCGGTTTTCCTTACAAAATTCTATGGGAGTCGCGTTTTGACAGTTCATAAGAAGTATGTCAACTGATTGACGTGTCAACTACCATAGGGTATGGTCAATAGTGACCTAGATTTCTACTATACTATTGTGTTTGTTTGGTCGTAGTATACAAAATACGAGTCTCTATGTACTGGACTTTAGAGACGTACTGTTCACGAGCCTTTTATCAAATGATGAGTAAGAATAATAATACTTTATTCAGCATAAAAAAATACAGTACATGACATTAACCTAAAAGCTATGCTGACGAGGCGTCCGCTCAGAAATATTCGCGACATAACAAGCGCCATGTCGAGAAACTGGTTTTCTATGATGACGTCATAGGTCCCTCACCTCGTGCCCTGGTGTATGAGCTGGTAGAAGGCGTGCTGCCCGTTGGTGCCGGGTTCTCCCCACACGATGGGTCCAGTAGAGTAGTCCACTTGTTCACCAGAACGCGTGACGTATTTCCCGTTGCTCTCCATGTCGCCTTGCTGGAAGTACGCTGCGAATCTGCAATAGAAAGATATTTGATGCACATCACACGAAATTGAGAGTAAGAAAAACAAAAATGGAAAACAGATTATTGAGTATTAGCCTCCACCAGTTGGCGCCACTGTACAATAAGGTACTGTCACTTGCTGGCGACAGGGGCGCCAACTGGCGAGTGCTGAGGCAGTAGGAAGATTATTGCATCTTCATTCGCCAGGATGGCGCCACTGTAGACTAAAAACTTATCATTCGCCAGTGGTGCCAACTGTTACAAACTGTGCCAAAGTATAAACGATAGCTCTCATTTAGGAAATCTTATCGAAAAACCATCGATTTCTCTCCGTTGCATTTATACTTATTTCACATCCTGTAAATTATCAATAGATCAAGAAAGTGAACTCAGTTTCTTCCACCACTTCATCTCAGCATCAGTCGATTATGTTGTCCCGAACAAATAGCTTATTTTACCACTAGGTCGACATATTATAGGCAAAATTACTAACTACAGTATAAAAATTCCAGTAGTACCACCTGAGTACCGAGAGGGCAAAAGCTACTATTATATGTATTATTGATTGTATTTACCTGTGCAGATACTGATCGTAGGGCAGGAGAGCGTGAGTCTCCGCTCCGTAGAAGTTGGAATACCACACGCCCAGCAAAGCCAGGATCACCGGCGCCTGGGAACAACGAGATTGCGAACATTTTTATTAGGAAAAAGGAGACCTCACTTACTTACCTCAACAAGGTTACTAAGTTTTAAGCACTGTATTTAGTTATAAGACCTTATGTATGTAAAGAAAAATATAATTTTCTTTAACTATTTCAAGTTTCTTGCGGGCAAACATCTTTAAGCCAGACCGTGACATTTAAAAAATGAATTTGTAATCTATGGTAGGAAAAGTCTATGGCCATAACCTAAAAAGCGTCTCGTACCTCTGAAAAAACAATATTTAATTTTATAGAATTGAAATACCAATTACAATTGGATATTCTATTTTATATTTTTCTTTACATGTACCTACACTTAGTGAGCAAATAAATGAATATGAATATGACTAGAGTTAGCACCGATTTCCAGTAAATCCGTATCCACACACATAATGTACAAAGAGTATGTAACTATGAGGCAGTTCATAATAATAATATTTAAGTTTGACACGTACAGTATTATGTATGACGTCAGTTACTTTACAAAACCAATTCAGGATCAAGTAAATTCTACAGAAAAATAGTTTTTTGTTCAGACAACGGCACGTCAAGCTAAACCCTGTAGCTCTTTTTTACTTGTGATAAGGGCGACTTTGCTACAAAAATGTAGTAGTAAGTAGAGGAGCGGAGAATTTTTTTAAATAACCAATCAGATTTCATCATTTCCACGTCTGTCAAACAAACAACCGCAACCGCTGTCAAAATCTGTAGAAAAATTCCTCCGTCCGACTTTTCTCCGCTCCGCCTTGGTGGAAATCAGGCCTCAGATGTGCTGTCGTTTGTACAGTCGCGGCATGAAAAGGTTCGTCACCTTAGTGTCGGTTTTCTCTTGCACTAGGTACTGTAAGAGTCAAACCTGCCAACATAACCGTGCAAGAAACAGTGCTGCTAACATTTAAATAAATATGACGTTTGCTAACGAATAAGGTTTTGCTTGTTTAATTTTCTATCCCATACAATGTTATAAAATGTAGTTTTTTTTATTTAATAGAAATAATAATGGCAGGTTGTACCAACAAGAAGGTTTTAGTTTATCAAGCATAATAATCTTGACAAGATAAATCGTCAAACAACTTTGATCTGAATAATTTTGAACTTTACTGACTGACGAACAGTTAAAGATTATTTTTTCTAACTCGAGATTATTCTGTAACATAGTTTCAAAAGGTAATATGTGCTCGCGATTCGTTGAAGGAATCAATTTGAAAACTGACGAACCTTTTCATTCCGTGACTGTACATAAAAATGCAATAGGAAAGTAAAATAAGTAAGTAATATTTTATTTTGACACCCTAGATGTGATTACTTACATTCTTCTCAAGAGGCGCCGTGGTGAAGTGGTTGTCCATGAAGCTAGCGCCTTCCAGAAGCTTCTCGAAGTTGTCGTAGCCCACGTACAGAGAGATGGACAGACCGATGGCCGACCACAGCGAGTACCTGCGGGTAGAAAGAAAATAAGACACAGATAACAGCCTAGTCTAGCTAACCAAGACACGCGGTAGTACGCCATGAAAAATAAGGGGTAACGCAACCAGGGTTCGAAAGGATAATTATCAATGATAATTATCACTATAATTATCTTGATAATAACAGATTAAATTATCAGTTGATAATAACAAAAAAATGCGCTCGTAAAAGTGAACTGTATTCGAAGTTTTCAAACTCGTATATCATAGCTTCATAACGATCACTCGTTAACTAGCGTAAAAATATTTATCTACTTTCCACAACGCTTTATGCGCCTAGCGATGGATAACTTGACAACAATCTGTAACCAAAAACATAAAGCAAAATTCTCAATGTAACATCAGAATTTCTTATGAAACAATATGACAAATGTATGTTACACTGTTGATAATTATCCGATAATTATCTGATAATTATCACGAAGCGTAATTATCTTGATAATTTCGAACCCTGAACGCAACCGAGGATTGGACTTGGCTAGTTTACTGTGTCCTAATTTTTCAATCGTCAGATATCTTTTAACTGAAGAATAACATTTTGACATATTTTCCCATACTAAAACTGTCAATGTGCCAAACTTATTCTTCAGTTAAAAGTTATCCGATGATTGAAAAATCAGCCCTGTGCAAAGAGTAATCAACAATAGGTAGGGTGATTTTCTGTATGCGTTATAATATTGATCTTTTTTTGTAAGATGTAACTCTTCTAAAAATTTGGTTTTTTATTTAAAAGTTTCCAAGTGAAATCTACAAGCATCCATTTCAATTCTTTTGTATCACTTTTTAAAAACTAATATTTGTCCATTTATTCTCATTTTCACATTTATTTTCAAGCGAAGTGAAGTGGGTGTCTTCTCTGTCCTTTCGCACAGTCGCGACAGCAATATAATTACTCGCGAGCGATAAGGATGGGTAACTTGAGGTCATTGTACGAAATTCTATCTGCTCGGCGATCATACTTCGAGTAACTTCGGCCAAGTTCGCGAGTAGTGCACCCGAAGTATTAAACATTTTACCAACCTGCCTCCAACCCAGTCCCAGAATCCGAACATGTTCTTGGGGTCGATTCCGAACGCGGTCACTTTCTCGCCGTTGGTCGACAGAGCCACGAAGTGCTTCGCTACGGCTGCCGGCTGTAAACGAAAATAAGTATCTAAGCTAAATCAATATGGATGGTTTTGGTAATTTCAAGTGAGGGTAGATAGATAAACTAACTGACAATCGGCTCAAAAAAAGCTAAACCTCTTTAATTTAATTGGAATTTGACCCTATGGACATCATTACTTTGCCATTTCAAAGAGGAATACAAATAACTCATAAAAATAGGCATTCCCATATTTACACTCTTCCCGAAGATGAGGTAAAAGGCAACTAATTACTAAGTGCGAATATCAGGTCTACCCAATCTGTCTGGCCAGCGCTCACATTGGCTGCTATTCTCTCCATCTGAGAAGTGTACACCAAACTCTCCATTTGAAAGAAAGAAAGAAAAATCTTTATTTGACAAAGTAAATAATAAATACATTCATACCATTTTAATAAATTATAAACATTACCTACATCAAAAGGAGAAAAAAGAAAAGAAAAATATGTTGTCAAAAAGGACACCCACTTAGTAACGTCTTTTATGTTTTTTTCGCTCGCCGCATGTGACGGTGGCAACACGTGTTTCAGGNGACACAATTTACTCTTCGGTCTTACGAGGTTAAACTTTCTAAATTTTCATATAACAGTTAATCAACCCATGCTTGAGCAGGCTGATCTGTTGTGAATGGACTTACGCCATTACGCTCCATAGCGTCCAGAACTTCACATACATACGCAGCGACATCAGCTCGGCTCTGTTCGATACCTTTGATGAATGGGTGTTCCAACAGTCTGTTGTATTTAGGACGCTGAGTCTCTTCTTTGATCAAGCTGGAAATAAAATCATTTAATACTCAACACATAACTTAACGACACTAACGGCTTAACGACATTATTAAAAACATGTATAATGGCCTTGGACTTACCATGTGTTGACAAAATTTACGAAGTTGTTGGAAAATGCATTATTAGTGTTTGTAAGACGTGGAGGATCACCCTGGACTACTTGTTGCAGCTGTTCGAAAACAGAGCCCCAACGTGGATAGGGGAAGGCACCCGTCGCCACTTCCATTAGTGTGATCCCAAGAGACCACACATCTGAACGAACATCATAACCTCGTGCTCTACCTGGGTCAATCCGCTCCGGCTGAAAATAGAAATCAATTTAATAAAAATATGTATGGTTTTAAAATGTATTAATTCAAATAAAATTTAGTAATAAGTCAATATAAGAATGCAAAGGCAAAAATGTACAAGACAAGTATGTATTTTGTTGATATGACCTATTTGTTGAACGCAGAGTTATTTTTAATTATCAAATAAACTGTTTACTGATTAAAAGAAACAGTACTAATACAGCCAGTCTGTCAGAGCGAGTATTAACGCGCCCGCATGCCTTCCATAAACTAATCGTGTGCTACATAATAAACGAATGCCAGTAATTTCTATTATACTTACAGCCATATATGGTCTGCAACCAGCGTCGCGTGTACGCGCTATTGAATCCACCAATTTTCCTGATATTCCAAAATCACATAACTTTATATTACCCCTTCGGTCTAACAGTATGTTAGATGGTTTCACATCTCTATAATGACAGAAAAGTTTTAATTCTTACAGAATAAAAATGTATAAAAAAACATCAAGTAAACATGCAACAAATAACTAATTATTATTGTGATCCACATGTGATTAAAGGCCTAAAATAATATACTAATACATACCTATGAATAATTTTTAGCTTTTCCTTTAAATAATTTAGAGCTTTGACTGTTGCAAGTGTTATTTTAGCTAAAATGTTTTCTGGTATTCGAGTTTGCATCCGCTCACAAATGAACTTATAAAATTTGTCTAATGAAGTGTCCATTAATTCCATGCAAATCCAGCAATCACCCTAAGAAAAAAGTTTATTTTAGTAAAATGACTTTTGATGTGGATGTCATACAATATTGTTCCTTAGTACTTACTTCTTTAAACAAGGCTCCATAAAACTCTACAATGTATAAGCAATCATTACTTTTCATTACCACTTCAAGATCCATGAGTAATTGCTTTTGCTCTTTTTCGTCCACTGTGGAACGTATGCGTTTCACAGCCATTACACGGTTGGTTCTATGATAAGAAAAACATCACTTATATCTAATAATAATAATAAATACAATTTATTGCACACCAAAAAAATAACAATGAAAAGGAACACACAAGGTACAACTAGGCGGTCTAATGTCTAATGTGATATAACTTTATATTATTATGTATTAGAATATGCTAACTAAATCAAATCAGCTGACTAATGGTTGAGCTTTGGTTAATTTTGTCTGTGGTTAATGAATAAATTGTTATAGGCATATTATTATGAATATGTGTATTTTATAAAATATAAATATTGCTAGATTTTATGATAAGATACATAAAAAAAAAACTTACTTTCTGTGTTCCATTTTATTTACAGCCCCAAATGCTCCTCTTCCTATCTCACCCAGATCCTGCAGGTCGTCGGCTGTGAAATCATAGACTTCTGTTGCTGATAGCTGCAACTTGCCTGATGACTGCATGGACGGATAAATCCTGCATCTGTCTCTGTATACAATAGGCACAACATGAACTTATTTTATTACATTCTCATTTGATTCTGAGATTTTAAGTCTAAAAATCAATGAATACATTTACATCATTACTAATTAAAAAAAACAATAATAGAGTGTACAACAAACAACAGAACTATGTGATCTACTGATGCAATTAATAAAAAATTGACGAATATTGAGTTGCACCTATAGATTTAAGGTAATCTTTACATCATGACACTATTCTCTTAATAAATAAAAATAAATAGGTATGTATTAACTGGATTTTATATAAAATAGATACATAAAACAAATTGAAACACTGAACTTTATCAATAAGGAATGTTTGAAGTGTGATCTAAATTTGGATGGACAACATTACCTAGTATTTTCGGGCAACACATCTCGTATGGTACGTGAGGGCACTCGAGGTCGTTGAACTACTGCTGGATTTGCAGTAAATGGCGTAAACACAGGACTACCCCCAGCTGATGGACCACCACTTATTTGAAGATCTAACGCTTTGCGTCTTTCTGTACCAAAAAGATTCAAATCTGGTCTCGGTAATGACGGTCTACTGGAGCCTAAAATAAATTACGATTTGAATAATTAAACACAAAAGTAACACTAAAATGTAAAACATCATCATACACATCTTAGTAATATTTACTTCACGGAAGCATTACCTACCTTGATTCGATGTCACTTCGCCATTCTTCGACATTTTTAGCTCGCTAAGAAATACTCGTTTAAAATGTTTCCAACTACTCTTTGGTGTCGATAACAACTTCCAAATTATCCATTTGATATTGGTAACTAAAAATTGGTCACGTTTTCATACTAAGACACGAAATTTTATTGTAAAATCTATTCATTGTATTTATCGACAACACTTACAAAATTGACATTTTGTTTTTTTTTCACCTCAACACTTTTTTTTCTGTGTCACGGAATGTGGCAATGGGCTAATTGGGCATGACGACAACTACTAGTTAAGTGTTTCTCAGTCGCTAGTTAACCTTTTTACCGCCACGGTAATATTTTCAAGGGACACACAGTACAGCAATGAAGAAAAAAATGTTTCTGTTTGAGGAAATGACGCGCGAGTAGAAAGATGATATGGTTACGAACGATCCCTTTTAAGTTGGCGTGCTACGGCCTTTATGGTGATACTCGATGCTTGATACACCTCTATCTTAACTGTCAAATGACAGTGTCCCAAGCACAGTTCCAAGGCTAAAAAAATGTTTACGTCAATGTCATTTTTGTCAAACGTGTCAAAAATCAGCAGAAAGAAAAGAAACGTTTTTCTTCGCTCGCCGCATGTGACAGTGGCAACACGTGTTTCAGGTGTNTGTTTTTTTCGCTCGCCGCATGTGACGGTGGCAACACGTGTTTCAGGTGTTTAAGTGAAAAAATCGAATTCTAACGTAGTTTATCCCAAAAAAATATTCAATTTTAAGCTTAGTTATTTTAATAAATAATAACAGGTGACGGATTTATCTGGTAAAACCGTAAGTAGAATGGAATTAACTCCTCCCGATCCCCCGGATCCTCCGGACCCGGCCTCCTGTTCAATGGACATTTCTCAACCGCTGTTTTCCCAAGCCGCAACAAAACGCCGCCTGGATTCGGAGGTTCCTTCTGAACCCGCGAAGAGATCCAACAACCCTTCTGTTGCAATGTCATCTCCAAGCAGTCAACCGGTGTACATGCACCCATCTCTTGTTATCGCACCAAAAGTCTACAGTGACCTTGACAAAGGCCCTTTTATTGTCCACGTGTCCCGCATCGAAACCGAGCCTAATGCCCCAACTTTCATCCAGCCAATTAGGTTCGGTAAATTTTTGGTCAATAACAAAATTAAGGACGTGATCAATGATGGTGTCAAGAAAATAGGAAGAAACAGAATCTCTGTTGAGTTCTCCTCTGCCAGTTCTGCCAACAAATTTTTGAGTAGCGAGATTCTATCCCTTTGCAAATACTCAGCAACAATCCCGACGTACAACGTGACCCGTATGGGCCTCATCAAACAAATCCCCACTGACCTTCCAATGGAAGAACTCGCNTGACCCGTATGGGCCTCATTAAACAGATCCCCTCCGATCTTCCAATGGAAGAGCTTGCGGAGTCATTGACGATTCCTGACGGATGTGGCATCCTGCTAAAAGCCCGCCGTCTAAACAGGAAAGTGACCACAGACGGGCAAGCGTCCTGGGTCCCCACCCAATCGGTAGTCGTGACATTTAAGGGACAGGTTTTGCCAAAACGAGTATTTCTGTTCCATAACTCAATTCCAGTTGAGACATACCAGCTCCCAACTATTCAGTGCCTCAACTGCTGCCGCTTTGGCCATGTCAAAGCCCAGTGCAGGTCGAAGGCTAGATGTTTTCGTTGCACGCAACCCCACTCAGCGGATAACTGTGATATTACCGAAGAAAAGGCCACATGCATTCACTGCACAGGACCTCACTTTGCTCTTAACAAATCCTGTCCAGAGCACTCCAGACAAAAAGCTATTAAAATTGCTATGTCACAGGATAATATCTCCTACGCTGAGGCTTCGGCCATGTACCCAACCACTCGTAGGTCTTATGCCGACATAACAAAGTCCCCATCCTCACAACCCCTACCCTCTCCATCCCAAACACTCCATTCACAAACATCCCACCTACCTCTCTCCTACAAGAAAACCATACCCCGCTCCCCCCGCTCTCACGCCTCTGGAAAGGCCTACCTCAAGGATCCGTTCTCAGTCCACTCCTTTACAGCATATATACCTACGACCTTGACCAAGCTGTCGATTCCTTCTGCAACATCCTTCAGTACGCCGATGATATTGCTCTTTACATCTCATCTAAATCGATAGACGAGGCCACCACTCGCCTTAATTCCGCTCTAAGCTATCTCGGTGACTGGATGCTCTCTCACGGCCTCTCCATCTCTGTTCCGAAATGCTGTTGCGTTACTTTTACTCGAAAACGACACATCCCGAACATAGATGTATTTATAGACGGTGATCTTATTCCCTGCTCTAACCAGGTTAAATTTTTGGGTCTGACACTAGACTCTAGGTTGTCAGGCGTCTCTCATTTTAACTCCATCCTTAAAAAGGCGGAAAATGGTATTAATGTAATGCGCGCCCTTTCTGGCACTTGGTGGGGGGCTCACCCTTACTCCCAAAAGCTGCTTTATAACGCCATTGTGCGCAGCCATTTTGATTACGCGTCTTTTCTTCTGGACCCATGTAACAAAGCAGCCCTTGATAAATTATCCAAAACACAGTCCAAATGCTTACGTATAATTTTGGGAGCAATGAAATCTTCGCCTATAAACGCGTTGCAAGTAGAGTGCGTTGATCCTCCCCTCTATTTACGTAGGCAATACCTCAGCGACCGCTTCTTTGTTAAGGTTGCTCAGAATGCCTCTCATCCACTTTTAAAAAAACTTGAGCTTCTCTCGTCTTCCAACATTGCATCTTCTTCTCTTCAAAAAACACCCTGCATTTTGTTAAGCTTCCAAAAATTTAGTCGCCTTCCATGCCCTATTACAAAAACTCCTGTTTTCCCTCTCTTCTCCAACAGCTTTGAATCATTACTGTTTCCACCGCCTGTTATTCTAAATTTCGGTATTTCTAAAGACTCCCCCACAGCGCCCCAAGAATTCAGAATTATTTTATCCGAACACTGGCAAGGTTGGCTCCCGATGTACACAGATGCGTCCAAGCTCGCTGATGACGGCTGTGTCGGCGCAGCAGTTTGGATACCTGCGTACAAAATCGCCCTTAGTTATAAATGCCCTCCAGTGACATCGGTTTTTACCGGTGAAGCAGTTGCAATTTTAGAGGCTATCCTATATGCTAAATCTCATTCATTAAATAACGTTATAATTTTCTCGGACTCCCTAAGTTGCCTCCAATCGATTCTGGCTAACCCCTTCAAGTCTAAAGTTAAATTTCCCACCATCCTAAAAATAAGAGAAGCTCTTTTTGATTGTCATTCGAAGGGTATAAATATTATTTTGGCTTGGATCCCTAGTCACAGAGGAATCCCAGGAAACGAATCTGTTGACTCATGCGCAAAACAAGCCATATCCTCTGGCTCTCTAGAGCATTACTCACTTTTCTCTCACGATGCGGCATCCCTCTCTCTAACCCATCTTTATAAATCGTGGAGAACTCACTGGGACAATTCAAAAAGGATGGTCGGTAAATATTATGCCGATATTCAGAAAGATATCCCCCCTAGACCCTGGTTTTTCAAACACAAATATTTACCAAAAAGCTCTGTTTCAATTATATGTCGGTTGCGAATTGGTCATGCGTGTACCCCGGTTCACCTTGCGAAGATGCACATAAAGGATAGTTCCTTATGCGAATGTGGCTTAGACGAAGGCACAACTAATCACATTTTCTTTAACTGCCCAAAAGTAGGTTCCTCTTTATTCGATCTCCTTCCTGAAAGCGTCCCTCGCCCTATTAATATTAAATGTATACTAAACTCTATGGACCCCCCGCTTTTAAAACTTTTATCAAAATTTATCCAATCCCGCAAAATTCGTTTGTAGGTAATCAAAAATATTTTTCCTCTCCCAATCCTTTATCCTACCTACCCTGTTTTTTCCCTTACATTTTAATTTCTATATTATGTATTTATTTGTGTTGTCTCAATTTGTGTTGTCTTTTTTGTTTTAGGTACTCACACAAATAATTATAATAATTTTGCTTTTAATTAGAAATGTAAATACTTTTGTTTTTTGTAAACCCTGTTACACTCTGTCAAAGCTGTTTACGTGACATTGGCGAAATCATGGTTCTCAATACCAAGTCGTTGCCAAAATAAAAGAAGAAGAAGAAGAAGAAAATATAAAAATACTAAATAATTTTGCATAATGACATGTGTTAAGAGATCCCTTGTATTTTGTTTACTTTAGAGTCATAATTGGTACACTTTCGAAACACACACGATGGCATTTTTTATTTATTTTGGTAAGAACGCACGCGATTGCGCACGACGCAGGCCACACGAAGACTAAACACAAGACGTCCCAATTGGAACGTTTTTGAGTATTCACAGCGCGAGCGCTTATAACATATCTGCTTTTGTTTTTATATAATACTAGCTGACCCGGCGAACTTTGTTCCGCCTTAATGGCAATAAATAAGCAGACTTTTTTTTTTCGAACGGGATAAAAAGTATCCTATGTCCTTCTCCTGGCTCTAAACTACCTCCCTGACAATTTTCAGCTAAATCGGTTCAGCCGTTCTTGAGTTATAAGTGGAGTAACTAACACGACTTTCTTTTATATATATAGACTAGCTTTCCGCCCGCGGCTTCGCGCGCGTGGACTACATTATCTACATATTTTACGGAACCCTATTTTTTCCAAAATAAAATTTAGCCTATGTTACTCGTGGATAATGTAGCTTTCAAATGGTGAAAGAATTTTTAAAAACGGTCCAGTAGTTTTTGAGCCTATTCATTACAACCAAACAAACAAACAAAGTTTTCCTCTTTATAATATTAGTGTAGATCATTGGAACCTTAATAGTACCGCTGCAGAACACACAGTACACAGTTCCGCCTCCTACCTGTAGACGGACAGCGGAGCGGCTCGTTTTTTTTATTTTTATTTTTTTATACACAACGAGGAAACTCTTGGTCTGTATCTCACCTAATGGTAAGTGACGATCAGGCCGAAGGTGGAAGCGAGCTTCACCCGGAATCCTCACAACCACGGAGGAACTGGCTATCTTACCTCTAACTGCCGGAACACAACAATGCTGTTAACATTGTTGTTATGGCGACAGACTTAGGTAAGATGGTGGTCCCGGATTGTACTGCTGGAGGCTCCCGGAGGAGGGCGAGGCATCATGAGCCGTAACTGTATCGCCGCAAGGCACACTGTCCCACCTGCAGGCGGCGGTTGTGCTGCAGCAAGCCGTCCAGCTGCTGCGTGAGCTCCTGCAGGCGTCCTGCTGCCGGACGAGGCTCTTGTACTGGAGGCTCCTTGAGGAGGGCGAGGCATCGTGAGCCGTAACTGTATCGCCGCACAAGGCACACTTCACTCGTTATTCAAATTTATGTATGCGAGTCATTTCTATTAATACCTTAATATGTAAGTCTAGACATTAGCACGTCACTACCTTGTTTAATATACCACGCAATCTTGTATACCCATTCTTATGATACACCATACAAGAATGCATGGTAAATTCAGTGAACTGCTCCTGAATCGAATGTACCTACTACTACTATTTCTATTTATTTATATTAACCGGCAGACAGTGGTGACTGAGTTTGTTGCGGCGCTTCTTCTCAGCACTTGCCAAATGTTGGCCTCGAAGCGCTGGTAGGGTAAAAAGATTATGATACATGTAGAGGCTCCTTAAGAGCAAAATGACGATTTGTAAGAACTATTTATTAGTCTAAACAAATGAAGAAATTTTGACTTTGACCCCTACCTGCAGGCGGCGGTTGTGCTGCAGCAAGCCGTCCAGCTGCTGCGTGAGCTCCTGTAGACGCGCGTCCTGCTGCCGGATGAGGCTCTTGTACTGCTGGAGGGTTCCAGACGAAGGCGAGGCGCGGGATTCCGGCGCGGAGTCCACGCCGTTCTCTTTCTTCACCGTGAAGCTTTCCACCACCACTCCTGGAAGATTGAAAGTAGGAATCAGTGTGGTGCACACTTTAGTACCACCCTGTCGAGTCAGCTGCGTAGCTGGCAGCCGTGACGTCACATCGATGCTCAGAGGTGGAATTGTGTAAAGTAATCGTAATCATTTGACAGTTCATAACGGGTTCGGGATTCGGGTTGTAGCAAAATTGACACAAGCGAGCGAGACTGTTAAGGTAGCATTCGGATCAAGACGACCGCGACGCGAGACCGCGACTCGAGACCGCGACCGGCGACCGCGACCCACTGCTTTATATGAATTAATAGGAAGTGCTGACGGATGCAAGAGACCGAGTCGCGCGACGTGTGGGCGTGGCCTGCCGGCTACTTGCGTCGCGCGACTCGGTCGCTCACAAGGCAGTGCCGTCGCGCGACAGATGCAAAATGGCCGTGTTTTCTTCGCACGAAGACGAAATTTTAATAGAATTAGTAAGTAAAAACGCACCTGTATTCGATACGAGACTTCAAGCTTATAAAGATAATACTGTGAGAGACAATATTTGGGAAAAAATTGGAAAAGCATTAAATAAAACAAGTTAGTTCAAATGATACATATTTTTATTAGAAAAGGTACTTATTTTTATTGTTTACAGATAGGTACTATTTTACATTAACTGCAAACATACTGAGTTTTCTATGGGTCGCACAACTCGTGTCGCGAAGATTCGTAAGTAGCTGTCGCCCTGCGACCGGCGACCGCGACCCACTGCTTTATATGAATTAATAGGAAGTGCTGACGGATGCAAGCGACCGAGTCGCGCGAAGTGTGGGCGTGGCCTGCCGGCTACTTGCGTCGCGCGACTCGGTCGCTCACAAGGCAGTGCCGTGACGCGACAGATGCAAAATGGCCGTGTTTTCTTCGCACGAAGACGAAATTTTAATAGAATTAGTAAGATTCGTATGGGTCGCACGACTCCTGTCGCGAAGATTCGTAAGTAGCTGTCGCCCTGCGACCTGCGACCGGTTGCCTGTCGCGGTCTCGGGTCGTGGTCTCTCGTCGCGGTCGTCTTGATCCGAATGCTATCTTTACTTTAGTTAGAAAATGTATAAGTATCAGTTCGCGAGCGAGAAAGTGACCTAAGTCAAAGTAGCGATCACGGTCTACGGTACTACGGTCTCTATCGCGAATGCCGCCTTGCAGCATTGTATCTCCGTAAATCAAATCAGTTTATTTGTATAAATGTGGGTAAAAATTAAGATGACAAACAATATGGAAAAAGCACAAACAGATTAACTATCACTAGCATACAAATATTTTATGGTATTGAATTAATATTAAAATGTGAAATTATCTAAGTCAATACAGGTAAAATGTCAAAGTACTCACCTTCAAGAGACTTGAACAACTTGCAGAATTCGTAGTCAATAAGAATCTCCGCTGCCGCCTTGACTCTTAATTGAGGATGTTTCGCCGCTTTATTGTACGACTCGTGCTTCGTCACCTCACTGAGTTTCCCTGAAAACGTCTCCATGCCTATCCTTTTTAACAGAAGTTGTTTGAGGGAATCTTTGGAGTAGTTCTCTACGGAATCGTCGTTGAAGTGTATGCAGATGGCTAGGAGGAAAGCTGATAGGCCTTGTAAAAGGTATTCGTTCTCGTCGTGCTCGTTGGAGCAGGTCTGGTTGACGAGGTAGCCGACGCCACCTGGCACTTTGAGAAAGGCGCTCACTGCTGACGGACAGTGGCTCATCCATTGCGAGAGGAGCATTAGTAGGGCCACCTGGAAGAAAATAAAGTAAGAGGTTTTTATATAATGTTGCTTAAATTTTCAATAGAATGCATTTATGTGTAACCGCGACTGATTACATAAATAATCGGATTAATATGTGAAATAGACTATCACTGTTTTTATGCAAATAAATGTTTGACCTGCGACCGATTTTGCACAATTCGTCCGTCCATTTGCGACGACAGTGTGACATCTCCAATTATACTACATACTATACTTTGTGGAAATCCTTGGGGGAGGCCTTTGTCCAGCAATGGACGTCTTTCGGCTGAAACGAACGAACTGTAGTTCGAGATGTCACACTGTCGTCGCAACAAGTGGAAGAATTGTTAAGAACTCAGTTGTTATGGCTGACCATGGTCAATGCAAAATTAATGGTCTACTAGTATTACAAAGACATTAATTAAATTATCAAACATGCACCTTAATAATATAGGTTAGATAAAGTGTAATAGGACATGAATCATCAGATCTAACCTCACCTTAGCCTGCAGTTTAGTCGACTGTTGCAGCAGCAGGGTGCATTGATGCAACAAAGACACGGGCGAGCTTCCTATATTAGTCGCAAGCAGCACCCTTAACAACTGCTCCTTCTGCGACGGATTCTCAGTCAGCGCGTGCATCAACGCAACTGCTGAGAACCAGTTTGATAACACATCGGATGAGAATAACCCCCCGCAAAGCAGTTGCCCGCTGGTCAAGCTTGAGACGTCGGAGGAGGAAGGTAAAAGAGTCTGGACTAAGCTGGCTTGGCTCATCTCGTTGTGGTAGAGGTAACATTGGAAGCAGTAGAGGACGGCGCATCTGGAACAGTTAACAATTAAATTAACGTCACGAGTTGTGGTGGACTTTCATTCCGTTAATATTAATGTCAAAGTATCGATATTAAGATTTGGAATGTACGACTACTATTATAGAAATGTACGCTAGTAGGATTCTGAGGTGCCATTCTCGCGTTACAGAATTTAGGCCACGTCGAAATAGAGAGAAGTCTACTATTTTATAGGCATGTGGACCAGATAAACGCACATTTTAGTTCTAGAATAAGGTTTTAAACAAAGTTAAGTCAAAGTGTAATTTAGAATTAAATGAAAACCATTTGTTACCTTAACGAAAACGGCTGTTTCTCGTTGACCATCGACATAAGTAGCACCACGATGGCCGGTCTTGGCGGGTTGGAAGGCGCCATCACGTTTCCCAAGAAGTCTTGATTATTCACGTCACCCCGCACCACCTCTCCCACAGTATTGATCGTCTCCGTCAAAATGTCCGCCGGCACACCGCTCGCCATCAGTATATTGCACAGAGAATCCAACAAGCTCGCGTATTTCATTATCTTTTGACAACTAGTTATAATTTGCACCGCGTTACTCGGCGACACTAAAGTCCTCACTATTTGGAGCATGCAGTGCACGTTGGACACCTTCTGCGGCGACCAGCCGATGTCTTCCGCGTCGTCGGGAGTCTGGAACATTGGCAGCATCTTCTGGATGTAGTTCCCTTCTTTGAAGAAGTGGATATTACTGCTGTTATTCTTTAGTAAGTTTAGCATGAGGAGCAGACAGTCTTCCACGATTATTCCGCCGTCGGAATACCCTTCAGACGACACGATTTCAAATAGCCTATCAAACGCATTTTCAAACGCGACGATTTTCTGTATATTAGCATTTCCTTTCGTCAGTTTTATTAGCAGGAGCAAGGTTTCATTCCGTATGACTTCTCTCGTGTCTCCCAAGAGATCCATCATTTTGGACACGCCCATTGGTTTGACTAGAATTATTTCCTGTATATCTTTAGGCCTGTTCGTTAGCAGCGACGTGAGCAGCTGGACTGCTGATAGTCGTACTCTGAAGTCATATTCGTCTAGGAGATCTAAAACAAGTTGGATGTTGTTGTGGTCCTTGATGAACATTTCTGTGAACTGTTCCCCGATGTTCATGGGAATGTTGGGGTTCTTCTCTTCCTCCTCGAACTGGGCGGGGGACATGATGTTGTTAAGCGTATCGAGGGCGTAGTTTATGGTCTCATTGTCGGCGCGATCGAGCTCTAGCACCTGCGAATGATAAAAGACACGAAGGGAATATCACACAATGTTTTTTAAGCGCGTTGTAGACGCGTGTTTGCAGCGATAACACACAAAAGTTGGCTCTAATCTATAGACGTTTGTAGAAAAAAAATCGCGTTAAAGTATCGCGCGTCGACGGCAACAGGCCCTAAAATGTATTCAAAGCTAAAAAATTGCATTGAAATCGAATATCGTGCGTGATAGTCGCCGAAATGCTGACTAATAAAGATTTAACCCTCTTAGGTTTGCCAATAAAAATCTTGGAAGCCACTGGGACACTCTAGCTATCTAATCGAATCTTACCTGTGCGCCGACCTCGACGCGGTACTTCCGCGACATGGCACAAATTGATACTCTTCCAAGTTTCCCGCTAGAAAGTCGATTCTGAGAGTGGCAGTCTCTTGCTAATAGGTTGCCTAATAAATATTTTATTTATTTTTATTTTACAAGGAAAACAATACAGTGTTGAAACTATGTAGACTAACATTTTAGAAAACTTATAACCATTAACATGTTTTCACATTTAGAGCCTGAGTAATGCTTGTTTATCAATAAAAAAATACAAAAGAAGTTACCAAGCCAGAGTTACCTACTACTAATTAAATTAAAGCTTAATAAAAAAAAAAAGCACCTTTCAAGAATGCACATCAAACCAGTCTTTGAAGAGATTTCGTTTAACACTATTTATGCTGGAATTGAATAAATCAATATCGGAATCGCCAGCCATAAGGTTAAAGACATTAGCAGCTCGAATAAAAAATGAGTTCTTCCTGTAATTGCTATTACTATGAGGAACAGAAAGAGTAATGGGTCGTCTTAAAGTCCTGCTAGGAGCACGTAGATTTATTAAAGAAAGGAGGTGTGGGGAATCGATCTTACATTGGGCTACTTTTAATAGAAAAGTGATGTCTGCTATTTTGCGTCTATCTTGTAGCGGTAATATGTGATGTCTGCTACACCTCCCTATGTAATTATCAATGTAAGTCTTGCTCTTGTACTGTAAGTATCTCATAAATTTCCGTTGGACGCACTCCAGCCTGTTAATGTAAATATTATATTGCGGATTCCAAATCTGTGAACAATACTCGAGGATGCTACGCACATATGAGCAATATAACACCTTTGCTACTTTTACACTTTGGAATTGAGAACAAGAACGCATGATAAAGCCCAAGGTCCTAGTGGCTCTCTTAACTACACTATCAACGTGCAGCTCATAAGTTAATTTGGAGTCATGTATTACGCCGAGGTCCCGAACTTGGGTGAGATTCTTAAGCCCTGTCCCTTTTAATGTGTACAAGTAGTGCGTCACATTACATTTACGACTAAAGCATATACTATGACATTTAGAAATATTTAGATCTAGTTTATTTAGCTTGCAATATTCCTCAAATCTTTGGAGATCATCCTGCAGTTTCTGGCAGTCATTTGTGTTTTGTATTTGTTTATATATTTTCATATCGTCTGCATATAATAAGAAACTTGAATGTAAAAAACAGCAAGATATATCATTTATGAAAATATTAAACAGTAGAGGGCCAAGCAGTGAACCCTGGGGCACACCAGAAGGCACAGTACACCATTTTGAACAGTAACCATTCACTGCTACGGCCTGTGTACGATTTTCTATGTAAGAAGAGAACCACCTAAACAGATTTCCATGAATTCCTGCTGACAGTAGTTTCTGTAGAAGCAATGAATGGTCTATTCGATCAAAGGCTTTGCAATAATCAGTGAATATAGCGTGAACTTCCCCCCCTGCATCCATGCCTGAAGTTACAAATTCGGTAAATAATATTAAGTTGGATGTGGTTGACCGATTTTTTAAGAATCCATGTTGTTCAGGGATGAAAATACTAGACAGGCTATCATAAACCTGCGTATATACGATACGCTCAAAGACTTTGGCGAACAGGCACAATTTCGATATAGGCCTATAATTGTTTACCAGGCACTTGTTACCGCTTTTATGTATTGGAGTTATAAATGCAGACTTCCATAGAACAGGGACGATACCTTCCGTTACAGAACGCTTAAAAAGTATTGCGAGCGGCCTCGCAAGACCTTTCGAACAGTTCACAATAAATGTTGGCTCTATAAGATCCGGCCCTGCACCCTTGGTAAGGTCGAGAGATTTCAGTAAAGTATTTAAACTATCGGCGTTAATTTCTATATCACCAATGGAATGGGTATGATTTGAAGTATTTACGTTAGAATGTTTTGGTGCAATATTGCTAGAGGGTGGAAGGAAGGTGGATTTAAAGTAAGAAGCGAAAAGCTCACAAATCTCCTCTCCAGAGTCACTTGATTGACCCTCATATTCCAAATTAGCCGGAAGTGAATTAGCGCCCTGCTTATTTGATTTGATGAAGGACCAAAACATTTTAGGGTTTTCAATAATGGACTCTTCTGAGGTCTTCAAATACGCTATGTAACAATCTTCCTCTAGTGCTTTGGCTCTCTTACGTAGTAAGGAGAATGTATCGTAGTCCGAAATGTTTCCATATGTGCGATATTTCCTATGATATTTATATTTCTCTTTGAGAACCTTTTTTAGTGCTGAGTTGTACCACACTGGAAACTTAGACGGGGAAACTAGTTTATGTGGTATATGTCTATCTCTTAGATCATACAAGATATTATAAAAATAATGCACAGCATTCTCTAATGATGTGCCGTTTAAACAGTCTTCCCAGTTGATTTCATCTAAAGACGAGTTATTTTCCCATAATCCGCTAATCGATAGAGGTATTTGCGCCTAGTTTTTGTTTTGAGACACTCAATACCACCAAAACTCAATTCAAACACATACACACAGTAAAGTCCCATGTTGTGTCGGTAGTTTTTATCATTAAAAGTTTGGGAGCTGCTAGAGACTCATAAGGCTTAGTAATTCATGGTACATGACATCCATGATGCTGCAGTCTAAGATTTCCTAGCGTAGCCTAGAATATTTATTTACCTGCTTTAGGGTGGCCATGCCCTGCGCGCCGACCTCGACGCGGTACTTGCGCGACAACGCTTTGAGCGCGCGGCAGGCGTCACGCCGGTCCTCCAGCAGTGTGGAGTTCTCCACGCGGTTCACTAGACGCTCCACCTGGAAACAAATTATTCAGTTTTAGGAAACATACTTGGACATTTTACACTGCACCATCTAATCCCCAACTAAGTAGAGCTTGTGCAAAAAGTTAAAGTTAGAATAGAATAGAAAACTTTTTATTTGCAAGAAAGGTATACAAGCAGGTAAGACATAGATTAAAACAGAGAAATAAACAAGTGGACAATTAACTGCTTGTGCCCCTCTGACAAAAAGGCACCCGCTCAGCGTACATCAAGACCGCCAGAGCTTGTCTTGAAACTGATTTTCAGCGGGGGCCCTCTGTTGTCACGGCGTACCCCTGCTGACGGAGATGCAAGAGGAGAAAGGAGTCCACAAGTCCGGCAGCAGGGAGAACGCAGCAGTAGCAGAAAGTTATAAAAACACTTTTGTTAGGTTTGTAGGTCAAAGGATTACCTATCATCAATCAGCAGGACCATTATGGCCACAAATACCCAAAAACACAGAAGCATGGAGATCCTTGGAGGAGGCCTGTGACAAACTGGAGAAGATAAATCAGAGTGCAGTTTTAGTTAATTATTATTTAATCAGGTTACAGCAGTCTAAATGCTGGCCTCTACAACCTAGGTGGGAGTGTGAGAGGCCAAATACTCACCATTGCCTTTGGTAAATTACAGGGGCTCATGTTCCTTTAGTGGAGATTAATAGTTGGTGGTGGTAATCTAATAATCTAAAAGCTGCTTGACATAATAAGCCTCCCCAATATTCCAAGCTAGTATGAAAAGCTATTGCTGTATGCACATAAAGAGTGTTACAAATACAAATGACACTAAACTAGTATTTTGTTACTGTTTTCGCAAACCTCATAATCCCATAATTCTCATCTTAAACTTGGTTTAAGAAGCAATATTTTGTTTGATGATCTCAAATTAAGTTAAAACAAAATTATTTGTGCAAACAACAGTATTTTCTTTTCAGATCATTAGAAAGTTATGTTATGGTTATAAAACAATATAAAATGCATTAGAGAGTAACAAACTATGGTGTTTAGTACTAGAGAATGTAATAATATTTCTAAATACCATAACTTATTTTTTAGTGATCCCAATCGCTATAATATGCTATTCAGTCACAAAATTAGAACACTAGAGATGTCTACTATTCCTAATATATCGGTCAAGCGGCAATAAAATGAGAAATATGCCAGGAATCACCGTCTCGCCAGCCGAAGGTTGTTGTCCGGGCTCCGGGGCGCCGAGCACGGTCTTGAGACCACTTTTAAAGAAATCCATTTTGCACCACTCCCTTGGTTCTATTAATATCACACACTACCGCGGTTAATACGAAACCATCGTATAAAATAGCGAAAATATAAGAAAATCAAATTATCACTAATTCACGACACGTCAAAGCAAAATTTGACAGATTCCGACAGTGTTGCCAGTCGGGTCTAGTCAGAAATTACCAGAAATATAAAAAAAAGTAACCTTTTTGAATCAAAAGTAACCTTCATACGGGGGGGGGGGTGCGGAGCGATGATTGTGTAAGGTTGTTCATGGATGGAAAATGAATAGAAAAACATTCGCTAAAACTCATTTTTTTTAACAAATAATAAATCAAATTCAAGTTTAAATGCACTTTATGACATAATTTTTAAATTTTCACTATTAATTTTTTTACTGAATAACCTGTAAAGTTAATTCTACAATTTCTGAAAAATCACCTAAAAGTAACCTTTTCATTAGTGTAACCTAAAAGTAACCACAGCAGTTCAAAAGTAACCTAAAAGGTTACAAAAGTAACCTTCTGGCAACACTGGGCCTAGTTCTTAATAATCCAGTGTTGCCAGTCGGGTCTACTCAGAAATTACCAGAAATATAAAAAAGTAACCTTTTTGAATAAAAAGTAACCTTCATGCGGAGCGATGATTGTGTAAGGTTGTTCATGGATGGAAAATGAATACAATTGATCATCTAAATTCGAAAAGTGACCAGTCGTATAAAAACGTTTCGTGGATTTGAGTTTTATTATCGAAAAACATTTGCTAAAACTCATTTTTTTTAACAAATAATAAATCAAATTCAAGTTTTGAAATGCACTTTATGACATAATTTAATAATTTTTAAATTGTCACTATTAATATTTTTTACTGAATAACCTGTAAAAGTTAATTCTACAATTTCTGAAAAATCACCTAAAAGTAACCTTTTCATTAGTGTAACCTAAAAGTAACCACTGCAGTTCAAAAGTAACCTAAAAGGTTACAAAAGTAACCTTCTGGCAACACTGGATTCCGATAAGACGATTACGTTTTGTTAAATTAACTAAAATCATTGAGGAACCAATAAAATTAAAAAAATATTGCAAAGAATCCTCAATCACAGCAGGCTAGTACTAAATTTATTTTTTTATTAAACAAAGGGGCTATTTACCATACTTGAAAGTACAATCTACTTAGTTAAACTAGTTTTATTAAATTGGTTAATCTTATTCAATGTAATAACGAAACATCTTTAATGTCAAACTTGACGGTTGTGCTTCGGACAAACTATTTTAGACCTTATTCGTACGGCATTACAATCTTATTTTTATGCACGATTCTGAGGAGTTGATAGTTGAAGTTGATAGAAGAATTTCATGTTTGTTGTGTTGTGCTTGTGATTAGATTTTAGTAATTTTAAAATAAAATACTCGTTCTATTTTAATTTACTACCAATTTTACTTTCATAAAAATGTCAACCGATCTCTATGCTAGTTTCAACGAACAGTACATGAATATCAACACGAAAATGAAAAAGTAAGTGCACCTTTTCTATTTAAAAATTGTTTTCTAATTTCTCATAAATTTCACAATCTTCACACTGTATTGTCAGAGTTTTATTCGCGTTTATAATGTTTCAGGCGGTTTATGCGTAAACCGAACATCTCAGAAGCGACGAACGAGTTCATAGCCTTAGCCATCCAGTGCGAGCATTCGGAGCAGCCTGCCTTCGCAGCGCAGGCATACGTAGGCGCCGCCAAGTGCGAGGCTTCCGCGGGCAACTTCTTGGGCGAGGCGGAGCACTACGTCACGGCCGCGCGGCAGTTCATGAAGGCGGAGAAGAAGCTCGTCTCTTTGAAGTTTCACAGCCCTGATAGAGAAAACTTAGAGGTAAAACGACCTAGACAGTACTTAGTAACATAATAATAGCCAATAGTAAGTAAAGTTGATAGTTTCATTTGAGCTCAGGTAAAGTTTCTTTTACTTAAACATATTTATTTAGTCATCTATTTGAAACCTATGGTCAGTCAATCTTCCTTCAAGCTATACTATTGCTTAGATAGGTACTTTGCAAAATTTTTGTACCAACTGAACTGAAGTAAAGTAAGCCACTTGATTCAACCTACACAATGAAATGAAAATCAGCACAGCTAACTCATAAATGTTTTTTTCTTTTCTAGGCAGCCATAGGATGCTTCATGCAAGCCCTCACCAAGTACCCAGCCAAGTCTCCCATCCGGACATCCATCCTGATGGAGCTGGCCAACGACCTGGCGGTACTGGAGCACAAGCTGGAAGCCGTATCTTACTACGAGCAGGCACTGGAGGGTGTGGTAGACACGACCATGCGGCTGATGTGTATGAGAAAACTACTGAATATGCAGATTGAATGTGGTAAGTGACAGAAATTTTTTTCAACTGACTTTTTGAGTAAAGAAAAAAGCCTTTTCTATTAGTTTTAAACTCAAATATCAACAGATTTTTAGTTGATATTTTATAAAGAATGTTTATTGTAGTTACATTGTTACATATTACATTGTTTTTGTTAATATTTAAATTGGAATTTGAGGGTGTTTAGTCAATGATTCTTTTGTGGGATTAGATTATATTAGCTTATTATTTGTAATTTCTAAAGGATAATATTTTTTTTTATGCATAATAAGGTAGGTATTTGACCAACATTCTATTTCTTTTATTTAAATTCAGCATCATTTTATTTCTTTACAGACAAACTAGATGTTGCACTGGAAACAGCCAATGAAATTTGTGATTCAAATACGAATTTGCCTGATGACATATTGACAGAGTAAGTAGAGTAAATATTATGTTAAATTAAATATACTGTAATTGTAACACATAGGCTACAAACATTATGTAGTTGAATTAATGGTCTATTTACAGAATACAAACGAGCAGAATACTCCTAACACTCCTGGTGGAGCCTCAGGAAGAGAGCAAACCAGAATCTCTGAAGCAGCTGATGTCTGATCTTCTGAATGACAGTGAAACTGACAGTAAGTTTGTAGTTTTTATCAGATACTTCAGATTTCATAAATATTTGTAAATTAGAGTAGCCTTTTACTGCAACATCACTACTACCTTGGTCTGTTGTTACCAAAGTTATTATATAATATGTATGTATTTAATAAAAAAAAAAAAAAAAGTATATAAGTAGTATATCCGTTAAGCTTAGCACCCATAACACAAGCATTGAGTTGCTTACTTTGGGGCTAGCTGGCGCTGTGTGAAATTGTCCAAAGATTTATTTATTTTATTTATTTATTATCTTTGAAGTTTCATCAAAATCTGTTCAGCAATTTTTGTGCCACCATCAATGCTCCATTCCTACTCTCTATCCTGTACATTTTCAGAGCTAATTTCCTAAGAACCTTTTATATTCATCATTCACCATTGTGCCTGCATCTCACTTCAACACTTTTACTCCCCAGCGATCCCATTCAACAGCGACCTCCGTCTGAAACTGCAGTCGGTCGCTATGTCGTGCGCGAGCGGCGATGTTCCTTCTCTAGTGGGCGTAGCCGCGGACGCTAAGCGCCTCCTCACGGCGCCGCAGGCCGACCTCATGGACCGACTGTGCAAGGAGATGAGGCACGCTCATCTGACTATTGCATAATGGGTGTAGTATGCTAATCGTAAGAGTAGGCGCACACCGTTGATTTCTAGTTGGCCGATAGTTGTGCCCGATTTTAATTTGTATGAAGAATCGGCCAAATCGAATCGGCGTAGTGTGCGCACTCCCATACATGCCCATACATACTGATCAACTGCCCGACTAAACTATCGGCCGACGAAAAATCAACGGTGTATGCCTACTCTTAAGGTTCGTTATCCCTCACGTATAACATGCAGCAATGAAAGAAAAAAGCTAATGCAGCAATGAACTCGACGCGAAGAATGAGGCCCACCCATCCATCTACCGCCATTCACTATAATATGTTTGCGGCGTGCTCAAGAGTACCCTCAATGTGCGAGGGGGTTTGCCGCGAAGATCATCGTAGGCCATCTTCGGCTACCACCGCTGCCAAGACGTTGGATTGACGATTCAAGGAATGGATTGAAAGGATGAAATGCTTCTCTTACACTTGTCATGCTATTGAGTGTGCCTCATTCATCCAGGATTAATTTGAGACTCAATATTTTTTAGCCAAAGTTGTTGATTGTTTATAAGATAGTGGGTGGTGTAGTGTAGTGCTGAAAGTGATTAATTTGCGCCTTGTCTGCCATTGTGCTACTTTTAAAAACTGCAATGTAGGTATTATTATAAGTTATGTATAATTTGTGTAAATATTTTATGTAATTAAGTTGAACTTGTGTATTATTTTGTCCAAAACCATTCCAGTAAAATATTTCATATTAAAGATAGACATAAACAAGATTTACAAAATTTATTCATTTCAGTAAAACATGAACACATTTTCATTACATAATTCAACGCCTAGATGTGTTACTGTTACAAGAATATTTTTTACATTTTCGTCATGTACATTTTGCATTAAAATGTAAATACAATTTGTATTTTTTTTTCCAATAAAAACCTTTGATTTTCTATCACATTAAGACTTCTTGTCAATACTCTTACTACTTGTACACCCATCTTCAGGGATATTGACAGCCAGTTCTTTCCCAAAATTGGTCTTGTCATCAATAACTGTCACTGGCTGCTCATCAACTACCATAACCGGTTTGTTTTCGACAATCTTTACAGATTTGCTGTCGTCAATCTTAACTTCATTAGCAAAGTTGGTTGCTGTGTCAACAATTTTATCTTTTAGAGAGTGGGTCCACATTTCTTCGAACTCATCTTCCTCAGTGTCGTCACCACTCTTGTCACTCTTAACTTTGCCCTCGTTGGTCTTTTGCCAGCAGTACTCAAATGGATAGCTGGTATTCCTGTTGTCATCCAGAGCTATCTCAAACCGAGTTGACAGGGAGTTGTAGACGGTATGCACCCCCTCAAGCATATTCACATCCACCTCCTCAAACCCAGTGATGGACTTAAACAGGTCTTCACCTGATTTCACATGGCTTACACCTTTCTTTTCAAAGAACTGTAACAATAAAAACAAACATTATTACATAATCAACCAACAATGTCAAGTAAATATTGTGCAACACATACTAATGATGAGTCATACTCACATTGCTAATGTTGCGGCAATCTCTCAGTAAAAACTTAAGACCATTGGGATGGTCCGGTTGAACTGACTGGGAGACATCTATGAACCAACATTTGTTGTCCCACCACAGAATGTTGTACTCGGACAGGTCAGCGTGAATCATTTGCCCGACATTGTACATCTTGTGCATTGCATCCACAACCTCATTGTACACACTCTGCCATTTCTCAGGCTTCAATATCACTTCCTTCAGCTTTGGAGCTGGCTTATTATCCTTACCAATAAAGGACATGACCAGAATATGTTTCTTCAAAACAACCATTTCAGGGCAGTTCAAGCCAATCTTCTGCAGCCGCATCATGTTGTGCATCTCCTTCTCGGCCCACATGTGCACCACCTTCCTGGGATTCTGCTTGGAAAAGCGATCCTTGAATCTGTAGTCGGCTTCAATATATTTGTCCCGAGTTTTGAACTCATTCAATGTAGTTTTGAAAACTTTGATTGCACACTCTTTAGGGATCACCAGGTCAGGATATGAAGTGTCCCCATTAGCGTGGAATACCACTGACTCCTTCCCGGAAGAGATTGCACCATTGATGTTCTCCAACATTCCATTATTGACCAGTTTGTATAAAATGAGCTTTGTGGGTTCATCGAGACCCATTTCAGCAGTGGCATGACTGTCCTTCCTGTCTAACATTTTGTTCTTGCGAGCCTGGTGATTCCGTGTCTGTTCTTTTAGGTGATTGAACACAGGGTTGGACAGTTTCATGTCAAACCCGGCTCCGTCGCCGGTGCACACCTCGGGCGGAAACTCCATAACGCGGCAAGCGTTCCTCCTGCCGTTGATCACACTGTCGTGTTTCGTAACCATCTCTCCGTCCTTCATAATAAAGCCGCGCTTGGGAAGGCTCGCGAATTCTTTTTCATTGGTCTCAAAGCGGTCCCAGTCTTTCTTGCCGTTCTGCTCAAGGTCGTCACCATCCGACTCCGAGTCGTACACCAGATGTTCAGGGACAGTGCGGTAGTTGTCGTAGGACACTGACACTTTCGCCTCCCCGTTCTTTTTCTTCTCTATCCTCTTGATTTCTTCATCGTACTCCTTATCGAACTGGCATTGCAAAACTTTCGCAATAATAGCGTCAGAATCGCAATACTCTTTCACATTCGAATCCTCTATTTGCTTCAATATCTCAGGCGATATGTCAGTGGTTTCAGGCTTATCTGGAGACTCATGTTGAAATACATCACCGATTTGCTCCGCGAACTTGATTTCCTCCTTGATCTGCAGTCCTTTAGCGTATTGTTCAGACATTATGTCCGAGAGGTTTTGCACGTCTGTTGGTGCTGAAACTTTCTTCCATGGATTCGACATTATTTGAGATTTTTTATTTTAAGGCTAAGTCTAAATATATCACAGAAATTTTCTTTATTAAATAAACAATCTTAGTGGAATAATCCTAATTTTAATTCACAATTTTCCCTGCACCCTACACGGAAATGTCAATGACAAGAATGACAGACAAAAGAAAATAATGTGATTTTTTTTTTTTTTAAAGAAAATAATGTGATGCGAAACCAGGGTTGCCAACTCTACGTATTTTTACGTAGATCTACGTATTTTAAGCCTTTCTTGCAAACCTACGAACTTCAGTCCCAGAATCTACGTACCTATTTTCTATCAAATTTGCAAAATAGGCTGAATGGGCATAATTTCCTTTACTTTCGCGAAAAAGTTAATAAACGTTCCGTTTCATACTAACACACACCACTCACCTCGCCACTCAACACATCGCGCCAAAGCAGATGACTCATGTCACATCATTTCCCCATTGAAAAAATGCTGTGAGCGCCTTTCAGAAAATATTTCTGAAAATTATACACAATAAAAGTGTACTTTACTACTTTTAGGGTAATATATTATTGTCGTTTTGCTACTTTTACCTACCCCTATACTCTCTTCATTTCATCACAAAATATAACAGAAGGTAAACTCCATACTAAGCGCGCTCGAGCCACGCACACATAGACACCGCTCACGTACGCGTTATTAAGACTGTCTTGGACGAATGCGAGGCGCGACTGCGTTCGCTTGAGTGACGCTGCTCACGCGTTTGTGAAATTATTTTGTTTGTGCGAAAATGAGTGAACAACAAAAAAGGGGTATTATAACATTTGTTGAGTTTTTCGTTTTTTAAACAATTAGTTGATTCCGGGAGGTAGCTAAGTAAGGTATTTATTTGTATTTCAATAGTTCGTTTAATGTTGACAAATTGAAATCCAATACAATTATTAGGAATATCGAAGTATTTTAAAGAGTTTTTAGGAATTATTGGAAAATAGTATCAACTACCCAACTACATACTACGTGATACTACTTCCGTCTCGTGTATTTGTTTGCAAACTATTACTATAATAATAACGTACTAAACATAACTACATAATAATATAAATATATGTGGATAGGTATGATTTTTCTTCCATAGTATTAAGAGTTACATTTTTCTATCATAACGAAATAAACGCAACACATGACAAGACAACCCTAGCGCGACGGCCAAGCGCAGGCTCGCGAAGCGAAGTACATACATGAGTTTACCTTCTGTTATATTTTGTGATTTCATTCAGAAAAAAAAGTACGTAGATCTACGTATTTTCTATATGGAAATTGTACCATTTCTACGTAATTTTCTAATCTGTCCTACGACTTTTTAAAAATCCGAGTTGGCAACACTGTGCGAAAAAGCGCGGGAAACGTCAAGCTAGGCGGTTGTCTCAATTTTTNGTGAGGAAGGCAGTAAATGCGAAGGAAGGATGGGTCAAGGTCGAGCGGATCCGGAAGGCTAAAGACCAAAAGATTATTATGAGCTGCGGATCCAAGGAGGAGAGAGCAAAAGTGAAGGCCAGGATAGAGAGTGCAGGCGATCGGCTCGTCGTCGAGGAGGTGAAGAACAAGGACCCGCTCCTGCTCCTTAAGGATGTTCTGTTGCTCAACAGCGACGAGGACATCCTTAAGGCAATCAGGAGCCAAAACAAGGACTTGTTTCGCGACCTCGGCGACGGGGAGGACCGTCTGCAGATTAAATTCAAGAAGCGCGCCAGGAATCCGCACACTAACCATGTCGTGGTCGCTACTTCACCCGCCGTTTGGCGGAGGGCTATTGATTGCGGTTCCCTGCATGTGGACTTGCAGCAGGTCAGGGTCGAAGATCAGTCCCCGTTGGTCCAGTGTACGAGGTGCCTTGGCTACGGCCATGGAAAACGCTTCTGCACTGAGACAGTTGACCTGTGCAGCCACTGCGGGGGCCCGCATCTCAAGACCGAGTGTGCGGACTTTCTGGCTGGTGTCAACGCCTCCTGCAAAAATTGCTCATCCGCCAAGTATGACAAAATCGACCACAATGCCTTCAGTAACACGTGTCCAGTACGCAGACGATGGGACGCATTGGCCAGATCGTCTGTTGCGTACTGCTAAGGTGGTCCTTGTGGGAAGCAACGACGATCTCGCCAGAGTTCCTAACGAACCCGGCTCGTGCGCAATAGGTGAAGGTGTGGCTC